GAAAGACATATTTTCACTGGTTGGAGTGTCTGGGGGGTTCCCCACATGTTGTTTGTGGTGGGCTGTGTTCATCCTTTTCTTCAGTTGGTATAACAATGCAATCTTCTTCCCTTTTTGCTCCACCTGTTAGGCGTCCACTCCAACCGTTGTATTTAAATCTAGTGTTATAAATAAAAAATATGCTCAGTGATCAACAATAAAGTACTTTTCTGTATATAATCCCAAAAATCCAAGATCTGTAAATAAAGTCCAATTTTAAATTAGAGTCCAATAAAGAAAATACGTGTAGTCCAAAAGTTACTTCCAGTGTAAAAAACGAAAAAAACATACAAACGAAACGAAAACTCTCCACTGCTTGTAAACCTTTGATTACCTCAAAAAAAAGAAAATTAACATAGTGCATTATCCTTTATAAAAATCTCATTAGCCTGTAAGATTAATTCAATCTTATTCACCCAAGTGAAAACAAGTGTATATATCAAAAACGCATACACATGTGATATACTGTGCAAAACCATGCATGTGAAACACTCTGCTGTGCTACAAACTCATAACACAGTGCACACTTCTATTGGGGTAAGGAATATATACCCTTACCAATGTTCAAAGCAATATATGTTTTATGATCTTAATCCACAGAAAAATTTCTCTGGTGGTATAAATCTTTGTATGGATATCCTCTGGATTAGCTTTATATGGATCCTTCCCCCTAGTAACTTGGGAGTGCTTCCACCATATACGTCAGCCCGATATCCATATACAAGGAAGAAATCATAGCGTAATACTGCCACATACTTAGATCAAAAAGCTTTTAATTATCCTGCTTACATTAAAACATCTTTAATCGCACATAGCATAACAAGACCTGTCTGCCATCCGGAATCCAGGAGAGTCCCAATCGTAACTCACAGCCGAGATTTTGCCCTCTCCAAGATGGCCGCCACTCTACTTCCGGAATTCTCGTATGCGTCTGACGTCACCTCCCTTTGACGCGTTTCGTCATTGGACGTAATCATAAAGGGTCTAGTGTTGTTGGTGATATAAAGATCTCCTTTTGAACCCCTTTTTGACTTTTTCTTCGTCTCAATATCCTGGTAAGGTAGCCTTTCTTGTGGTCATCCCTTTGGCTAGAAGGGTTTTTAGACCAAGAATCTCCTTTTTACTCTAAATGGTCACTGCCTTTTGCATTAATTAGGATATTGTGTTAAGTTTTCTGTGTCCAGCATTGGTTCCTTCAAAGATCTCGCTCCACTGCTGAATGTGCTAAGGACCATGAGGGATCCCTCTTACCTACTTCAGGGAGTTCATTCTTTTAGAAGTGATTAACCCTTTGGGAGCTGCAGAGGTAGCCTAAAAAGGGACTTGTAAGCTTCTGGGAAAATTAGTGAACCAATCACACAAGTATGAAGATATATTTCGAGGGAAGTTCTGTACACCAACTGTGTACAGAATGCCCCCAGCCTGTTATATTACATTGCAGAAAATAGGATTTTGCACACACCATAAAATCCATTTTTTCAGAGTCCATTAAGGGGCACGGTTCTCTCCCCTCATATGCCATCATTCTTGTTTGGACTGCTTTGGGCGGGTGGGAGGGGTTATAGCCTCTAGTGGGCCGGCCTTCTGTTTATATGTGCCTGGTGTCCATTTGTCCTGTAGGATGCTTTATAACCTTTGGACTCAGAAAAGAATTTTATGGTGAGTACAAAAACCCGATTTCATTTCATAACTCTGCCTTTGTACTAGAAAATAGAATTTAGTTTTATAAGTGAGTCAAATTGTAAAATTAATATGCTGTTTTTGTCTACAGAAACCCTTAAAGCTACTGTTGGTCAAACTAGGAAAAAGGCATATTTGTTTTCCATCTTGTTACGCCTTTTGTTTATAGATTGCATAGAAAACAATTTCAAATCATTTTTGCAAGTGATTGTGGCCGTATTAGTGCACATGTAACAAACAATTGAGTACCGTTCTTGATACTTATTTATTTGCACTAACATTTGCAAGACCGTATTGCCAAAACATTTTAATGTATTTATTTTGATATGTACTACCCCATTTTTAAAAAAGTTGGGACACTGTGTAAAATCTACATAAAAACAGAATGCAATAATTTGCAATCCAATATTTTATTCACAATAGAAAACACCAAATGTTTAAGAGATTTTGTGAAAACTGTGCACCTTCGCTAAAAATTAAGAAAAAAAATTTAATTTTGAAGATAATGGCAGCAACACATCTCACATTTGGGACAAGGCCATGTTTACCATGGTGTAGCATCCCCTCTTCTTTTACCAGCACTCTGTAAACATCTGGGAACTGAGGAGACCAGTTGCTGGAGAGAAATTTTTTGTCCCATTCTTGCCTGATAGAGGATTCTAACCGCTCAACAGTCCTGGGTCGTCTTTGTCGTATTTTCTGTTTTTAAGATGCGACAAATATTTTCAATTGTGTAACGGTCACTTGGTTGGCCGAGCCACAATAATGTCACTGCTGTGCATGCGCACAGGAGTCTCATTGTCACGGCACAGACAGTTGCTGTAAATGTACACTGAGCTGCTCATACGTGGCTCAGTGTACTTTAATGGTAACAGGCAGGAAGAAGCAATTATGACAGAAGAGACCAATTTGGGGTATCATCTATCATAAAAATCCTACCTATAAGCAGTTTTTGGGTTCAGTTTTTTACTTTGTCATTACATGTTCCCTTTTGAGGATATTGGAACATAGCAATATCTCTTTATAACTTAGATGGTATGTTTTCTTATAGGACATCACACAGCAGCACTTGTGTGACCCTGTGACTGTGTCTCTAATGGAAAAGTGTATGCGATTTCATATCCATTGTGCATATGAGCTATGTGAAGAGCCTATTTCCGCCTTTGATCCAAAGATCAACAATGAGAACTTAACAAAATGTCTTCAGAGCTTGAAGGAGATGTACCAAGACCTGCATAATCGTGGAGAGACTTGTCTTTGTGAGCCAGAGTTTAGGGGTTACAGCGTTCTCCTCAACCTAAACAAAGGAGATATTCTCAGGTAAATCACGGACAGTGTTATTGCTTATAAAGTAGGATGTAAACTTTGGCTGAACCTTTATTAAAAACTTTGACTTAAAGTATAACTGAAGGCAGACCTTTTTTTTTTTTTTTTTTTTTAAGTTTTGGGTACAGTAGAGTGATTAGAACCCCTGCCAGGTTTTCATTGCACCAGTTAGAGAGATTCACCTTTTTCTATTTGTCCTTAAAGACAGGAACAGTATGTCAAAGTACCTAAACAAAGACCTTCATAGCAGAATCCGCTGTTTACCAAACACTGAGTTTTAAAAATAAGTTACTTTTGAAATGCCATTAACACCTCATAGTTTAAGAGATTTCAGTGATTGGTGTTTGTTTACTTTGAAGTATATTTGCCAATTTGTCTGCCATGATGCCATATAGACCATTCTTTATCTTGACCAGGGGCGGACTGACCATTTGGAAACTTGGGCACTGCCCGAGGGCCCGGGGTCAGTAGGGGGCCCCATGAGATGCCCCTGGTACCTTTTTCATAGGCTTTTTTGAGTTTGGGCAAGGACACAGGGGCCCCATGATCCCCTATTGCCTGGGGGCCCCATGAGTTGTCAGTCCGCCCCTGATCTTGACACTAGGATAAATTACGGTTTCTGTATTCATCTTCAAATGGCACCTATTATGAAGTGTTGCTTGATTTTGTGGCATATACTGTAGTTTGGTTTTAAGGTTGTGGTTGGTATAACAAAATATAAAGGAAAAAATGCAGCAATATAACATTTTTATTGTACAAAGATGCTATGCATGTCATTTTTTTAAATTGCAATTTAATTTATATTTAGCTTATTTTATAACTAGTTCCAACTGTGTCCTAATATTTGTAATCCTTGCATGTCACAGCTGACTTGGGTACACATATGAAAAGCATATGACAGCAGTAGTGTTTTACTGGTGTGATATATCTCTAGATGTCTTTTATCAAGAGCCCTTTTTCAATATAACATTTTTAACATTTTAGGTTCTGTATGACATAAATAGATTTTTAATCACATCTGATTTATACTGTAAGAAATGTTGCCCATAGTATAAACAATGCCTTCAGGACTCCAGTAACTATAGAGCATGTGCAGAATATAAGAGCCAGGTGAAGCTGCTACCGTTTGTGTACAGATGCACCAAGGGTCCTTGGGTCCAAGGTGGAGCACTGCCAGTTTAAAAAAAAAACTAAGTTTTTGGAAGGGTGGAAAAAACTGCTTTCAAAAGGGAGCCTAATATAGCCTGTAAATGAAGGTAATTCAAAATTATTTTAATGTTAACATACACAAGTTTTAAATGTACACAAAATTTCATGGGATGATTTTTGTTGAAAAGAGTGGTCTGACATCCAGGCTCTAGTAATTGCCAGATTGTAAGCTGGCTCATAGATCTGGTTAGGCCACTACTGCTTGAGCTTTACTAAAGTATTAAAAGGATGGGAGTGCCACGTCAGCTTGTATAGCTTTTAAAAGAGTTTAATTTGCAACAGCTGTTGTGTTTTGGGGTTTCAGCAACCCCCCCCCCCCTTCATTAGGGCTACAAATTAGACAATAGAGAACATACAAAAATTCCCTAAAACATGTTCAAAGCTATATATCATGTATATAAAAGTTTTTAAATACCTTAATGCAGTCTTATTAGAGCCAATAAAATAGGATCTATTTACTAGACTAGTGTTTCTCAACCTTTTTTCAGTCAAGGCACCCTTTAAAATTATACACAATCCTGAGGCACCCCTTTGTAAAATGTAAAAAAAACCTAAAATAGTTTTTCATAATGCAGCAACATCCACAGACATAGGACATCTAAAGTTGGAGGTGATTTATTCTTCCAAAGCAAACACATCTTTGCACACTGGTACTGACTAGTATTCCAATGTTTCTCTTCTCCCTCACTTAGCTAATGGGACCGCAGTGCTGACTGAGAGGGGAAAGAAAAAGATGCTGTGCAGGCATCTGACATCCTCCTTATCTACTGATGACATCTTTAAGTGTTAGGATGCTGGCTGGCTTGTATACAATTTATGGGCAATTTTAGGCATAATGCCAAGCACCCCTGAAGATGCCTTAAGGCACCCTGGTTGAAAAAGGCTGTACTAGACTACTGTATTTATGGATTGTATGAACTGGATTTTATACTTTACAGTTCTTATTCATTTTGTTTTGTTGCCATAGTAAGAACACATTTAGGTCTGTACTTCTCATTTGAGCTCTTCTTTTTTTTTTTTTTTTTCCTCAGTTTGGGTCTAATAAGAATGCCTCAATATATTTTTACTTTAATTTACACCCTGTTCCAAATTATTATGCAAATGATATTTTTCTCATTTACCTAAATAATTGATGTAAATAACAGCATAATTCTCATGTTATCAACTATTAAGAGTACAATTCAAATTTTATTGAACAAACCTAATGATAACAGTATTTTTTTTTAAACATAAACTTACAATGCACTGTTCCAAATTATTACACACAGTAAGTTTCAAAACACTTTATAGGTTGTAAAGAACTGAAAATTGTCATTTGTTGTGTTTGCAGCATATTTACTGAAATCAAAAGCTATTTCAATCAAACTTTTAACAACATTTTAACTTTTTAAGCATTTTAACAGGTCACGTTACATTTTAACATAGGACCCCTTATTTGATAGCAGCTTCACAAGTCTCTTGCATCCATTGAACTTGTGAGTTTTTGGACAGTTTCCGCTTGAATTTGTTTGCAAGATGTCAGAATAGCCTCCCTGAGCTGCTGTTTGGATGTAAACATCCTCCTACCCTCATAGATCTTTTGCTTGAGGATGCTCCAAAGGTTCTCAATAGGATTGAGGTCAGGGGACTGTTTGAAAATTAGTCTTCATGTATTTTATGGCCCAATGTAGCCGTTTCTGCTTGTGAGCATTGGTTAGTGGTGGCCAAATAGAAGGTTTATGCACAGTTGCAAGACTCTGGAGGACTCTACACCTTGATGTCCGTAGGACTCCAGAGGCACCAGCAGCTTCAGAGCCTTGTGGAACGCATAAAAAGTGTTCTAGCAAAGTGGGCTTTCACGCGTTTCATAAGTAGTGACTTCCGTCTAGCCACTCTGCACAGGGCTGTCTTTAATGTGGGGCAAAAGGGGCAGAAGCCCAGAGCCCAGTCATTGTCGTGGGTCCCTAAGCAGCTGCCCCCTGAGCCCTGCTCCCTGCCAGGGTTTTTTCTGTTAGCCTTAATATGCAGCGCACCCCTCAACCCTGCAGTCCATACGCAGCGCACCCCTGAACCCCGCACTCCATGTACCTTGGCAGCCCATCCTCTGAGATGCTGCTCTCATTGGGCTTTGTTCCTACCTGCATAGTTGTGTGTTCTCTGCTATGCTCATTGTTCTAGAATTTTCTGTCTATTGGTGGGTCTTGTCCCCTCCACAGTCTGTGGTGTGCAGGAAGGAAGGCGATTGTGTGCTATAGCCTCTAGCAACCAATCAGTGAGCTGTAATGATGTGCAGTAACCTCTAGCAACAAATTAGTGAGAGGTAATAATGTGCAGTAACCTCAATCAACTAATCAGTGAACAGTAATGATCTGTTATAATCTCGAACAACCAATCAGTTCTCAGTAATGATGTGCAGTAAACCTCTAGCAACAAATCAGTGAATGGTGATGATGATGATGTTGAATAACCTCTAACAAACAGTGGGTGTGTAGTAACCTTCAACAACCAATCCGCAAGCAAAAATTGTGTTGTAAGCTCTGGCAACTGATCAGTGAGCAGTAATGCGTGTGCTATAACTTCTAGGAACCAGTCAGAGAGCAATAATAATATGCTGTAACCTCTGGCAACCAATCCCTGCCTGATCTGCTGCAGTAAACTGATTGAGTCTAGCTGCTATTTATTGTAGGTCACAGAGTATGGGGGGGGGGGGGGGGTCGGCTAGGGGGGCCCCAAAAAAATGTTTGCCCAGGGTCCAATCAATATTAAAAATCAGTGGAGGGCTGCACTGATGGTTGTCCTTCTGGAACTTTGTCCCATCTCCACACAGGATCTCTGGAGCTCAGTCACCATCGGGTTTTTGGTCACTTTTCTTACGAAGGCCCTTCTCCACTGCTCACTTTGACCAGCTGTTGGAAGAGTCCTTGTGCCATACTTTTTCCATTTGAGAATTATGGTGGCCATTGTGCTCTTGGGAACCTTCAGTGCAGCAGAAATTCTTTGTAGTCTTCTCCAGATCTGAGCCTTACAGTAATCTTGTCTCTGAGCTCTGCAAGTATTTCCTTTTTGACCTCATTGCTTTTGCTCTAGTACAGTATGCCAGGACTTGACAAATTTGCTTTGAATCTAGGAACCAGCTAAAAAAGTTAGACAGGTTTTTTTTTTTTTTTGGGTTGTCCGATCCCGGGGCAAGGCAACTTTTGGGCGACAAACTTACACAATGTGATTTGCTGTGTGAAAATCACAGCAAAACCACACCACGTGTTACATACCATTTGAAATAATAGCACCTGAACCTGCTTTTTGTGAGCACAGTGATTCTGCCTCAATTCCAAAACACCCAGGTGTAAATGGAGCCCCCCTGATTCACACACATGCGATTCTGGATGTGTTTTCTAACTTAGATTTGCATGACCAACTAGATATTATGTGTTCCTATTGAGGTGGTTTACACGGATGCAATCCACACGCCTTGTGTTTTCAGTGCCATTATGAAAAGGGTCCTGTGCGAGTTTGTAGTGGTGCGTTCCAGACTCGCAAGTGATGAAGTAGAGTGGCATGCGTAAAGTGGTCACATAGGATTGCTGTTGACAGGAGTTTTTGCATTGAAGTCAACGGGAGGGCCTTTTTTTTTGGCATTGAAGTGATAGCATGTGGCTTCACAGCCGGGTGCCCACACTGAAGATGCCGGCCTCCTAGGATACAGGAAGGCCGGTGAAACAGGCTGCGGGATGGTAAGTGGCTGTTTTTTAAAAGTCAGCAGCTACAGTTTTTGTAGCTGCTAACTTTTATTTTTTGACAGGGTAAGTGGATCTCTGCTTTAAATTTGCAAACCTTTCTAAAATTCCGTTTTTTACTTTGCCGTTATGGGATACACATAGACTACTGAAAAATGTATTTAAACTGTAGTATCAGGCTGCAATACAACATATGTGATGGGGGTCTGAATACTTTATGAATGCACTGTATATTACAATGGACATTGCGTAAACTTGTAGTGTGAGGGCATAACATGGCAAGATAATTTATCAGATAGAATTGCCAGGGTATGAAGGGGAAATATTATGCTAGGAAGAAGTCCACGGTTCCCAATTTCTTTTCCATTGCTTAGCTTTGCCTCCTGAGGCCATACATCAGCTTGTAAAAAGGTAACTTATTGCTTCAATTTAGAGCGGATTAGCTTTGTGTCATAAAAGGTGAGAAATTGTTTCTCTCGGTTCAGTTTGTTATAATGTTGTCATACTGATTTGTAATTGTTATAGGTTTGTTTCTATGTATTTTCAGAGAAGTGCAACAGCTTCAGGAGTCAGTTCGTAACTCGGTGGAAGTGAAATTTGCTCTAGCGGTGTTCTCTGCCTTCAACAGCAAAAACTATGTGCGTTTCTTCCGACTGGTCCGCTCTGCATCATATCTTAACAGCTGCATATTACATGGCTACTTTGGCCAGGTATGGATCAGATGTTGATTTTAATTAATATTGAAAGTGATATTGGCTAAATGAGGATATGTTTACATCACAATACATGTATGCTATAATCGTAATCTTGTCACTTGCGTTGCGAGATTTTACTTGTTTCCTGGTCTGGGGATAGTTGCCACTGAGACAGGAAGTGAGGATAAACCCCCTTATGGGGACACAAACTCTGTCAGTTTTACATTGCAGTCTAAGTTGTCTTTATGCTACCAAGAAAATTATGATTATTTTGTTAGGAGTGGTTTTAAAAAGAATAGGAGAGAGGTTATTAAAAACTGGTTAAAAAAAAAAAAAAAAAAAAAAAAAAAATACTGCTACAGTAAATGTAGATTGCTGTTCAGTGGTGGTGATAACAGATATTAACCGCTTAAGGACCACCCTATACTGCTACAGGGCAGCACCTGTGCGCAGAATCACGTGTATATATACGTGATTTCGCATTTCCGGGCAGGAAATGGAACACATCCTCCGCCCCCTAGTAAAACACTCCCTGTTAACCCTTTGATTGCCCCTCATATTAACCCCTTCCTGCCTAGTGCCAATAGTACGGTGTCAGTGCTTTTTTTTTTTTTTTTTCTTAGCACTGATCATTGTATTGGTGTTGAAGTTAGTTCCCCCCCCCCCCGGTGTCAGAATGTCTGCCACAGTCCTGCTAAAAGTCACTGATCGCTGCCATTATTAGTAGAAAAAAAAAAAAAAGTCCCATTATCTATACCGCCATTTGTAAATGCTATAAGTTTCACGTAAACCAATTAATTTACACGTATTGGGATTTTTTTTTTTTTTTTAGCAAAGACCTGTCACAGAATACATTTTGGCCTAAATTTATGACGAAATTTGATTTTTTTTTCTATATTTTTTTACTGGACATGTTTAATAGCAAAATGTCCAAAATATTGTTTTGGTTTTTTTTTTTTATTTCAAAATTGTCAGTCTTTTTTTTGCTTATAGCGCAAAAAATAAAAAACCGCACAGCCTATCAAATACCAGCGAAAGAAAGCTCAATTTGTGGGGAACAATTAACCTAAATTTCATTTGTGTGCAGCATTGCATGACCGCGCAATTGTCAGTTAAAATAACGCAGCACCGTTGTGTAACAAATGGCCTGGTCATGAAGGGGGGTAAGTCCGCAGGAGGGCAAGTGGTTAAAATCTGGTTATAGACTCTCAGGTGCAGGTGGACCAACAGCAGGAAACTAAAACGTGGTTTCCTTATTTGAAATCTAGACATAGATGTTTAAAGTATATGCAAGCCCTCGCCTTGTAAAACAACAAATTCAATTTAAAATAGAAATGAAAGGCAAAATATTTGTGTATGTATAAAAAAACATTATAAATCCTTTTTTTTTTTTTCTCCCCCCCTCACCCCCCTTGTTTTTAAGTGATCACATACCTTCTAAGCTTATGGAGCTGAAAATCGAGAGCTGAAATGGCAGAACACTGAACTTTCCAGTGAATGTCTGTGTGGGGAGGCATGTAAGCAGAAGTCTAGTCACTGGAGGAGAGCACAGCTAGAGAACTGACCACGCTTTGCTCTCATGCCTCTAGTGTAGTCAGTTTTAAGTAGGAAAGCAGAGGGACTAGCGGGAACACAAGGGATATCACAAAATGGAAACAATACAAAAAGAACAGGATACTTTTTCATACAGGTACCATGGTATATCAGGTACATATTAGCAATATGAAATGTTGGGTTTACATATTCTTTAATCCTAGGAGCAGAGTTAAAATATAAACTCTGCTTACTGTAAAACAACTTGCTCTAAGTGTCTTGCTTGGGTTGCTTTTTATCTATCCCGCAGCATGATCCTTTACCTGAAAATTAGCAAAAGCTTAACCATAGTGTGACCAGATCAGTTCATTTTCAGCTAACCACTTTGTGTTAATGCATTTGCCTTTTTAAAGGGCATGTCCTTTCACAAGTGACTTTTTAATTACAGGTATCTTTCAGGGGCTTGAAGCACTTGCTAGTTGCCTATCCTCCTGAGCAAGGCAAAACCACACTTGTGATTTGCAGCACTGAAGAGACTCAAGTGAAAAATTTAAATATTTTTGCTGCAGAAAACAGCTAGGGATATTTTAAAGCCATATTAAACTCAAAAACAAAAAGTAATACATTGCTGTTTCCCACTTCTTAGATGTGCAGGCAGAAGCTACATTAGTTTTCTTTTTTTAGGCTTTTTTATTTTTCCTTTTTCCTTTCTTTCACTTGGTGATCCAACCAGTAAGTCTGCCATTTTTCAACTTCCCATTGTGGGGCCTGCTGTCAAAATACGGAGATTGTGGGAGAACGAAAAGTGGGAGATTTGTCTAACCGCTCTAGAGTAATCTATCCGGCTAGAGCTGAAATGTCTGTTTGGAGCAAAGATCATAAGACCCTGGTGAGTCTACCTAAAAGTGTCATTTCGAATAGAGATGGAGACTAGTAAACTAGTAACTGCTGGCTTTATATATCTAATTAATCTAAAATAAGTATAAACATCCAGAATAGAATGTGTGTGCACTTTATGCATCGAGCAGGTGTTGACCAGTTCACAGGAATCACCAGGAGAAATAAACTGTAGTTCTATTTACCTCACAAGCATCAGACAAAATTCCAAATATCAGTCTTAGATTGACTGACCCCTCTAAAGTCTCATTTTCATGTGTTTGCTTTCTAACAGATACGTCGAAGTGCTCTGCAGGTCATGAATGTTGCTTATACTTTTAGTCCCCAGAGGCCCACCTTATTTCCACTAGAGGAAATTGTGTGTCTTTTGTTGTTCCAAGATGCCGATCGAGCTGCAGGATTCCTCACAGCTTATGGCTTAAGTGTGTCAGATGGGTAAGTAAATCAGATGTACAGTAAATTTTATGATTTGTGATGTTGCGTTTAATTAGAAAATTTTTGCTTTCTAAAGTAAACCTGAAACAAGGTGAACTGTCAGATTATAGAGAGCATCGTCCACATCACATCTCTGCCATTTAGAGAAGTCTTATATTTTTATCAATTAACACAGGCTTCCTCTGGTCCGCCAAGGTGGGTGGATGGAGTCATCACTCCATCTGTCCACCTCGGCCAATCAGAGGAAATTTTTTATTGATAAAAATGAGAGGCTCCTCCTTAATGGCTAAGATACAATATAGGTGACACAATATCTGGTACTAGAAAGGAAGTTGTACTGCTACCAGAACACAGTACCGCATACTGTACATACCACAAGCTCCCTACGATAGGGGTTACAGTCTAAACATCGTCCAGTTTCACTTACATATAAATTAATTTTGTACAAACTGGCTCAAACAATTTAAAGTGGAAAGAGACTCTGCTGCTTTCACAGATAGAAAGGGCTGCTTGGGCTGGCACAGTGGTGATGATGGGGGATTTTTTACTACACTGAAATTGACTGGAGTAATGGCATTGCTGGAACACAGGACAAGCATTTATAAACCTATTTCAAGACAATTTTATGGTACAGTTCATAGAGGCCCCAACTACAAATGATGCTCTGCTCGACCTGGAAATCTCAAACCATACAGAGCTTTTTACTATTGTTCATATAAAAGAACATCTGGGTAGCAGTGACCATAACATTGTTTCATTTAACGTTGGCTGTAAACAACAACAAACACATGCTGGATAAGAGCACTTAACTTTAAGAGAGCAAATTTTCTTGCTCTCCAAGGCGCCAAATATTAGCATCAAAGAATATAGAACAGGAATGGGGATTCTTCAAAATGATTGTATGCAAACACACTGCAAAATATATTCTCATGGGCAATAAGTTTAAAAGGGCTAAAAATAAAACCTATGGGGCTCACAGCCAAAGTTTAAAAAAGCTATAAAATAAGAGCTTTAAAAAGATATAAAAATGAAGGAACATTGTCATCATATAAAAGTTTCTAAGAATATAACAGAATACGTTAAAACTGAAATCAAGGCTGCAAAAATTCAAAATGAACAGATTGCAAAAAAGATTAGGACAAACCCCCAAAAATTCTTCAATAATATTAGTAAAAATGGGTGACTGGGGATAAAGAGAAGGCAAATGTATTAAATACCTTCAGCTCTGTGTACACAAAGGAGCATGGGGGGGCTCATGTCCATAATGGGGATGATATTGACATAGCCCCAAATGAACCACTATGGCTTAAAATTGCTATGGTTCTGAAATATTACGACAGAATAAAGGTGAATAAAGCACTTGAACTAGATGGCATATACTCAAGTATCCTAAAAGAATTGAGCTTTGTCATTTCAAAGCCATTGTTTCTAATTTTTAGGGACTCTTTAATGACTGGCATAGTACCAAGTAACTACTACTGTGTACAGTGTACAGTGTGTTCTAAAATAAGGTACTACTGCATCAGTCCAAGTGGTAATATCTTTATATGTTCATCTGTATATTTTTCATCAGTGAACACTTGGTTGTTATTGAAAGCCTATAAAAATTTAAGACTAAAAATTTTGTTTGAACAAAGCAAATAACCAATATAGTTTTGACATAACTTTTCTTCTTGTTTAAGGTTTGTAGAGCTAAACCGTTCTGCTTTTGCTGAACTTGAGGCTCCCTTGCAGCCAAAGAAGAGTCCATTCATCAGCCACAAATGTAGTGTATCTGTGGGACAGGTGGTAAATGGAGCCCCACTAACAACATTCTCTGTGCATGCACCAGTGTGTAGCTTTGATGCACAGAACAGATATACTGGATTTAGCAACTCAGCCGAAATAACCGTAAACTCAGGACAAGAACCCACAGGTTGGTCACAAAGTGAAGATTTCTGTACAATTTGCCATAAATTGTTAGCCATCTAGAAGCAGAGCAAACCACTGAAACAAGGCTTCTGGTTAACATATTGTGCAAATAGTACACTTCTGTCTGATATGCTTAATTCACTGTACCTATGCAGGCAGTCATGATTGTCACTAGGCTGTTCTTCTGATTTGGGCTACTTGTCTCTCTGTTCATTTCCAATATATGGGGGTGGGGGAATTAGTAGTTTACAAAGTGAAAAGTACATGGTTTGTGCTTTCAGTTCAGCTCACTTTAAGTTACAAGTGCACCTTTTCTGGCAAAATCTACAGGTAATCACTAGATTTGCTTTCCCAGGTCAACTTCCAGAACAGCAACCTGAGATTGGTTCCTCCCTCTACAGAAATTACATACAGAACAGTTAAAAACCACTCCCAGTTCCTCATCCATCCTTCAGTTTAGATAGGGTTTGCTAACATCCAGAAGGCAGTGCATTGTTTGTTTTTTTTTTTTTTGTTTTTTTTTGTTTTTTTTTTTCTTGCTTGCTCGGATAGCCATTTGGTCAATGGTACCCTTTCCTCATGCAGTTTGGATGGGCTGGTTAACCTTTTTCATCTGTGTAATCAGAGGGGTTGCCATACTTCTCTCAGGACCTGTCTCCTGATGCTCTTTGACCTGTGTGCCCAGTCATCTTACTCCTCACCTTGAAGTCTCCAGTTCTAGTCTACGCTTGGTCCCTAGTGGTTGATGGTAGCAATTGTGGATTGCAGCCCAGACCACCTTCCAGAAGTGACGTGTGGCCCATGCCTTGATTTGGGTGTGCCCTGCTCACTTCATGCTGGTCGTGTATGTGCACTTTTGGCTGCTGGCAGCCTGGGGAGTAGCACTGGCTGCTGATCCACCCAAGGCAGACTTGTGGTTTACTTGCCCTCTTCTCCTAAAGCAGGAACCTTCCTGGTCCTTGCTGCCTCCCATAGGAACCTCCTTTCATGGTTGCTTAGGAGGAAGAAAATGAAACGTAGAAACACTGAAAAGTGATGGCAGAAAAAGACTGAGTGGTCCATTGAGTCTGCTCATTTTTTGTTTTTTACCTCTTTGTCCGAGTATAGATCTGTGCTTGTCCCAAGCATGTTTGAAGCTATTTACTGTTGGTTGGCTCACTACCTCTGCTGGAAGTTTATTCCAAGCATAAACTACTCTTTCAGTAAAATAGTAGTTTCTGAGATTAGTTTTGAACTTTCCTCAAGTTAGTTTAAGGCAGTGTTTTTCAACCTTTTTTGTGCAAAGGCACACTTTTTTCATGAAAAAAATGACGAGGCACACCACCATTAGAAAATGTTTAAAAAAATGTATTGAAAAACTTTTTGACTTGAGGGCCGCAATGGGTTCATATATTGGACCTGGGGGCCGGACCAAGAGTAGATGAATGATGTGATAGTGTATGTGTCATCCCTAGTAGTAAGTAATATTCCCCCATAGTAGTAAGCATAGTAATTCATCCCCCATATAGTAATTCATCCCCATAGTAATTAATCCCCCATATAGTAATTCATCCCCCCATAGTAATTCATCCCCCATAGTAATTCATCCCCACATAGTAATTCATCCCCCATAGTAATTCATCCCCACTATAGTAATTCATCCCCCATAGTAATTCATCCCCTATAGTAATTCATCCCCCATAGTAATTCATCCCCCATAGTAATTAATCCCCCCACTATAGTAATTCATCCCCCATATAGTAATTCATCCCCCATATAGTAATTCATCCCCACTATAGTAATTCATCCCCCATATAGTAATTCATCCCCCATAATAGTATAATTCATCCCCCATATAGTAATTCACCCCCCATATAGTAATTCATCCCCCATATAGTAATTCATCCCCCATATTAAGTCCCCAAGCCCCCCCTGTGTCAATTCACTTACCTTTGCTCCGCGCGTTCCTCTCGCCGTTCCGATGTAGCATGAAAATCTGTCTCCTATGAGGATCTGTCCCCCTCGACGTATCTGCGCATGTGCCAGTTTCAGGCATTAGCAGCCGATCGGCGATCTCCGGCACATGCGCAGATACGTTGAGGGGGACAGATCATCCTGACAGTATCACGCTCCGCGGGCCATATTAAAAGGTCCGCCGGGCCGTAGTTTGCCCATTGCTGTTTGCTAATGATTGGTCTATTTGTGAGCCGAGGCCACATGTTACGGATGAAATTGCAATTTTTCCCACGGCACACCAGACAATATCTCACGGCACACTAGTGTGCCGCGGCACAGTGGTTGAAAAACGCTGGTTTAAGGTCCTGTCCCCTGTGTTCTTGATTTTGATTTTGTGTTGAAAATACTGCCCTCCTGAACCTTATTCACCCCCTTGATGTATTTAAAGGTTTCTATCATGTCTTCCCTGTTCCCTTCTTTCCTCCAAGACTGTACATGTTAAGTTCCTGAAGTTGCTCTTGATATGTTTTATTCCGCAGACCTTAAACCATTTTTGTTACCAGTCTCTGGACTCGTTCCTGGGAGATTCCTAGAAATACTGTAACTAGTAAAGTTTGGTACACACGAGTTTAACCACTTGTCTACTGGGCACTTATACCCCCTTCCTGCCAAGGCCAATTTTCAGCTTTCTTTTGATGGTATTTTATTGCCGCAGGGTGTTTTTTTTATTTTTCGCGCTATAAACAAAAAGCAAAAAATTTGAACGAAAAAAAAGTTTTTCTTTGTTTCGATTATAAAATTTTGCAAACGGGTAATTTTTCTTCTTCACTGATGTGCGTTGAGGCTGCACTGATAGGCAGCACTGATGGGCACTGCTAAGCAGCACTGATGGGTACGGATAGGAGGCACTGCTGGGCAGCACTGGTGGGTGGCACTGCTGGGCAGCACTGGTGGGTGGCACTGCTGGGCAGCACTGGTGGGTGGCACTGCGGGGGCACTGGTGGGTGGCACTGCGGGGCACTGGTGGGCGGCACTGATGGGCACTGATCATCAGTGCCGATCACTTCTCTGACATTTGCTGGTTATCGGCAGTACTTTCCTCACGCTGTGACAGCGTGAGGAAAGTGCAGCCAATAACTGGCAACTGTATTTACCCAGTGATCTGCTGTGTCATTGGACACAGCTGATCACATGGTAAAAGGCTGCTGTGATTGACCATTTTACCGTATTACATGATCAGCTGTGTCCGTATGACACAGCGATCACTGGTGGCGCTGGGTGTGTGCTGCATTTGCTTTCCAGCTTTTAAAAGCCATAGTAAACCAAAAAGTAAATGTTTATTATATTGCAGCTTACCAATTCTTAGATGCGATGACTGCATTTTTTTTGCTTTCCTTTTTATATATTTCACCTTTTATTCTGGCCAGTAAGTTTTTCAACAGAACATGCTATCCTGTGGATGTAGCAGTTAGGAGGTTAAGATAAACAATTTACACTGCCTTGAGAAATTTTCCATATTTTGTTATTACAACCAAAAACATACATGTACTTTATTGGAATTTTTTATGTGACAGACCAACACAAAGTGGCCCTTAACTGTGAAGTGGGAGGAAAATGGTAAATGGTTTTCAATTTTTTTTTTACTAATATCTGAAAAGTGTGGCGTGCATTTGTATTCAGCCCCCCCACCTTTTGGCTGCAATTACATCTGCAAGTCTTTTTGGGGATGTCTCTGCCAGCTTTGCACATCTAGAGTGACATTTTTTGCCCATTCTTCTTTTCAGAATAGCTCAAGCTCTGTCAGATTGGATGGAGAGCGTCTGAACAGCAATTTTCAAGTCTTACCACAGATTCTCAATTGGATTTAGATCTGGACTTTGACTGGGCCCTTCTAACACATTAATATTTTTTGATCTAAACCATTCCATTGTAGCTCTTGCTGTATGTTTAGTGTCGTTTTGTGCTGCTGGAAGGTGAACCTCCACCCCAGTCTCAAGTCTTTTGCAGACTAACAGGTTTTCTTCTAAGATTGCCCTGTATTTGGCTACATCCATCTTCCCATAAACTCTGACCAGCTTCCCTGTCCCTGCTGAAGAAAAGGATCCCCACAACATGATGCTGCCACCACCATGTTTCACGGTGGGGAATGAGCATTCAGGGTGATGCGCAGTATTAGTTTTCTGCCACACATAGCATTTTGCTTTTAGGCCAAAAAATTCAATTTTGGTCTCATCCAACCAGAGCACCCTCTTCCACATGTTTGCTGTGTCCCCCACATGGCTTTTTTGCAAGCTGAAAACGGGACTTCTTATGGTTTTCTTTCAACAATGGCTTTCTTCTTGCCACTCTTTCTTTAAAGGCCAGATTTGTGGAGTTCACAACTAATAGTTGTCCTGTGAGCAGATACTCCCACCTGAGCTGTGGATCTCTACAGCCCCTCCAGAGTTACCATGGGCCTCTTGGTTGCTTCTTTGAATAATGCTCACCTTGCCCGGCTGTCAGTTTAGGTGGATGGCCATGTCTTCTTCGGTTTGCAGTTATGCCATACTCTTTCCATTTTCAGATGATGGATTGAACAGTGCTTCATGAGATGTTGAAAGCTTGGGCATTTTTTTTTTTTTTTATAACCTAACCCTGCTTTAAACTTCTCCACAACTTTATCCCTGATCTGTCTGGTGTGTTCCTTGACCTTCATGATGCTGTTTGTTCCCTAATGTTCTCCAACAAACCACTGAGGGCTTCACAGAACAGCTGTATTTATACTCAGATTAAACTACATACAGGTGGACTCTCATTTACTAATTAGATGCCTTCTGAAGGCAATTGGTTCCACTTGATTTTAGTTAGGGTTATCAAGAGTAAAGGGGGCTGAATACAAATGCACACCACACTTTTCAGATATTTATTTGTAAAAAATGTATTTTGTATGTGTTTGTAATATAGAGCATCTTCTATATATGTATATGCTATACCATGTGTTTTTTTCCCTTTAAAGACCCTGTGTATAGGAAAATACCTGTTGCTTTGCTTTTGGTTCTGAACTCACAAAAAAATGTCGGTACTGCTTGGTGTTTTTTGCTAAACTTCAGTATTCCCCATCCTTCCCCCAGCTCCATATCATAGAAGGAATTATAAAGTCCAGGAGCTGATTAGTCTCTGAAAAAACCGAGTGCAGGATTGCTTTGAATTTGTCAGCATCAACCATTTTTGCATTTGACGAAATCTATCAAAATAATTTTCATGATATTTTAGTGAAGGGAGCAGATTAAAAGCTCATTGTTGAGGTTTACATACTGTTCTGTGTCAACAGGCTTTGGACTTGTGTCAATGTCACCAGTTTAACATCCATTTAAGACACTTGACCTGCTTCAAGTGGGTTTTGCATTGCAGTTGATTTGTATAACAATAGAAACCCTGTCTGACACAAGCCCTTTGACACACAGGCTCTTAATAATGTGGAGTCCTTATTGCTTTATACTTGTGCTTAAATAGAAAACAATAACCCTATGTATGTTATTTCAGTTGTTACCGATAAACCAGAGGTCAGAGACTCAGTCACTGAAGAGAGGTCTATCAAACCTACGATTGTGCTTCTGAAAGACAACCAGGAATCTCCGTCTATTCCTAGTCAGTCAGTCTTCCAGCCCATAGTACCGCCTGAGGTCCCTCCATCTCCACCCAAGCCAGCTTTTACTGATGAGGTACTTGTAAGATGCAACTTTGTGTAATAGCATGCTCTCATTCACCTTTCTTGCATAACAAATTTACAATTTATTTGCTAATATAGGATGTTGCCGCTGTGCTTCATGATATTGTGGAAGATACCGTGAAAGAATTTAGTGTCAATATCAGCCAGACAGGAGCTGCATACATTTCTGCTGCACTTGGGTAATAAAAAATATTGTTTGAATGTTGGTATTCGTAACAAACGCTGGTGAACATTAAATGGTTCATGCTTACATTAAAACTTGGAAACTTTTGGTGGAGTGGAGAACCTATGATATTTGATTGCTGTTTGTGCATCATTTACTGACACTTTTGCAGTTCTTTACAGGGCTGCAAGCTGTCACAGCCTGGTATCAACAGTTGAGATGCCGGTACTGGGGAGAGAATGGACGGCACAGGTAGTTTATTAAAAGTCAGCAGCTACAGTTTTTGCAGCTGCTGACTTTTAATAAACACAAAAACAGCTTGAACTCCGCTTTAAATGCAGCTAGGGTTTTTTGTGACCATCAAACCCACAAACCAGCACAAGACAAAATGGCTGAGCACAAAGTTACCTTGTTTCCTTCAGGTTTTAAAGCTAGCACGCATCTGTAAACATTAAAGTATAACTAAAGGCAAAACTTTTTAAATTTTTTTTTTTTTTCAGTTTTTGTTGGATTGGAGATTGATTAGAACACCTGTCAGTTATTATTGCTGTCTGTGCCCTTGTCAGAGACATTCACCCTCTTTGTCCTGTTCACTGTTATCAAAAGTTAAAGTAAAAAAAAACCTGCTAATTTTAAGATTGTCACCTGAAAAGTAATAGAGGGGAAATCTTCCAATGGAGACGCCAGTTCTGGAGACCTGGGGGTCCCAATGGATTTCCTGTAATTTACAGGGAATTTCTGTCCCTTCCTGTTTTGGCTAATGGGACAGGAAGTGAAAGTAAATCTCCCCAATGGGACACAGATGACAAAATAAATAGACGGGTTATAACCCTCCCTTACTCTCTCCAGAATGAAAAAATAGTTTTGCCTTTAGTTCTACTTTTAATAGCTCTTTTTATTGGCTAAGAAAAAAGAATGTAAGGCTAGAGTGTCCCCATTAAAAAGGCACTAAACATAAATAACTAGGTAGTTTTTTACAAAGCATTTTGACAACATTTGCTGACTACTGCATTTAAAGATAGAGGAAAACTTACAAATTTTAATGTCCCTTTCCCAAAATGGCAGCAAATGTAAGGGACTGGGCAGCCAAGTTATACAAATATTGGTTATTTTTTATTTCTGTGCCAGTTTGGCCCCTTTTACATGGCTATTCCAAACAGGTCTGTCTGCCAGACCTGATTGGAAGGTTCATTCATCCTTATAAACAGATGAGTCTGCCAAACAAACAAAAAAAACAGAAGGGGTTCCGTCCTATTCCGATTAGGCGAATCAAATCAGAGGGTAGTTGGGAGTTAACTGGCAGTGAAGTCCATAAACTCTCAGCTGCTCATAGAGCAGAGCAGGATCTGTGTGCACTCTGCAGAAACTGAGCAAACATAGATGTTTCAATGTGTCGATCGCTCTCTCTGCTCCAATCTGCCCCATGTGAAAGGGGCCTTTAGCAAAATTTGTGTAGCTATACTAGATGTTGTACATCAAATGAAAACTATTTTGGATATAAAAATTGTTTAAGGATGATCATTTTGACCCATAGCGGAAATACTCAAACAGCACATTTTAGAGGAAATTCCTACTAAAACCATACTTTCATCTATCTATCAACCAATGTCCTATTTTCTTGTTAAAGTCAAAAGCTGACATCTGTAAATTGTGTTATTTCTCTTATGCCAGTATCCGGTTGCCTTGCTGAAGAATTTCTTGTCCATGTTTCTACTATTACAGAGAGTCATCGGTGGTTGCTGACCAGCTTCTTGCAGATGTAATCTTGGATATGTCAAGCACTATTACAAAAGAAGAGGTGAAAGCAGAAACTGAGAGGGTGCTGGAGGAAAAACGAAGAAAGGCAGAGGAAGCCAGGCATGTTTTATAGCCATTATGGATCACCAAACTTTAAATATCTTCCAATTGATCATCTTTATTAATGAGCACTTTACAGGGCAAGATCTCGGTGTATACCATATTTTTCGCTCCATAAGACTCACCTGACCATAAGACGCACCTAGGTATTAGAGGAGGAAAACAAGAAAAAAAATATATTCTGAACCAGTGGACTGCAGGGGACATAGTACAGGGGATGACCAGTACAGAGACTGCGGACACAGTACAGGGGATGACCCAGAGACTGCGGACACAGTACAGGGGATGACCCAGAGACTGCGGACACCACAGGGGATGACTGCGAGACACAGTACAGGGGATGACCCAGAGACTGTGGACACAGTACAGGGGATGACCAAGAGACTGCGGACACAGTACAGGGGATGACCAAGAGACTGCGGACCATTGGGGAGGGAGGGGGAGCGGGTACCTGAATTGGACAAGTACCCGCTACCACTTCCACGGAGGTGTCCTCCCTTTAGTGTGGGCACTCGGCTGTGACAGCCAAGTGCCCACTGCGCATGTGCGGGAAGCGCTGCGCTTTGTGAATAGTCCGTCTTCTGGGACCTGTCGTGTCCCAGAAGACGCGGGACCATTCACAAAGCGCAGCGCTTCCCGCACATGCGCAGTGGACAGCCAGGTGCCCGCACTAAAGATGCCGGCGCCGGAAGACTGTACAGCGCTGGACCGAGGAACAGGTAAGGTTCTGCTGCAGAGAAGACCTGAACGGCCGACCCGGTATTCTGACACGGCAGCGGCGGGAATTCCGGACTGGCCACTCCATATTCGCTCCATAAGATGCACTGACATTTTCCCCCCTTTTATTGGGGGAATAAATTGCGTCTTGTGGAGCAAAAAATAGTGTATATACCCATAAGCAATATTATAGCCACCAGCAGCCTTTCTCTCTTCAGAAGTGCTTTATCTATTTCCAACAGACTTTATTCAGAAAATGTGGCTACTGTGCCTTGTGCTGCTCCAAGTGTGGTTTAGTGGTTTGCAGCAACTCCTGGAACCCTCTTGGTGCACGTCTTTGCAAGCCATACTGATAGTAGCACAGGCACTCCTAACATTCCTGATATTAGATAGGTAAAGGTTTGCTGAATCAGAGGCTTCTGGGTGCACAGAACTATGGAGGGGGTATGGGTGCATCCAAATGTGATTGTTGTAGTTATTCTTAAAAATTACAGCCTACAATAAAAAACTACATATTTCCATGCAAAAAAATGGTACCGCTTTCAGCACAAAAAATCGGAAAGAATCATACCGCCAAGGAGGTTAAATGCAGCATGTTTTACACCATTGATTCTTCTCTGTGGCAGTTACTAGTGTTGGTTTAAAGGCTGTACATAGCAGTAACAAATGGATACCTTGAACTGATCTCTAATCCTCTTATGGCTTTATTTTAATAATATAAACTTGGTAAGCTCTAGTAATTGTAACACCTTGCAGCATGATCACAAATACAGAATGCAGTAACCTAATACTCAGAAATCTCCTCACTTCTGTGACAGCACATTAAATAAAAAGGCTCTTGAATTTGTTCAGTAGATGATCCTTGAAATCCTTAAGCTGTAAATGATCATTTATTTATAGTACAGTGATGAGAGCTTGCTTTGCTTGCGTGTTGTATCTGATATTAAGCAATGGCTGTATCACTCTTAGGGGCCCGTTCACAATTGCGTGCGGTAAACATGCATTTGCATTAATTTTTAATGGATCACCAAACGTTCATGCATTGTGGGAACTAAACCACATGGTACCACAGCACCATACCATCTGCTGTGGCACAATTTTAAAAGTTGTGATTGCCATATTTTTGCACATTCCTGTGTGTTTGGTATCCCATTGAAATTAGTGAGCTGTCAAAAATGTGCCACGCAGGAACGCGTAAACATTTATGCACATACGGTGTAAACTGGCCCCTTAAGCTTTAAAAATACTAAAGGAAAAAAAGGCTCTTCAGACAGAGTATACAATTTTAGTTAAACTTTACTTTGTTTATTGCTTTCCATTTCATCCTTAAGTTTTGAAGGATAGTTTATGGAGGAGACTTTTTGATTCTCTTTTGGAGGCTCTATTCTTCCATTCTCACTGTAGGCGGGGAATCCAGGAAATGGGATAGGGTCACACTGCATCTGGTCACTAGCAGTTGATGGCTGCCCTTGCAACCTTATTGTGTCAAGCATATAGTAGACATTTTTCTCCATAATTGTTAAAAAAAAAAAAAAAAATAAAAAAAGCATCAAATATAGTGACATTTGTGTGTTGTGACTTTCATTTCTTGCTCCTCACCATCCTTTGTCAATTTTTTGACCAGTTTTTTATAGTTTGGCCATTGGCAGATCCCAGTACAATAAGGAAGCTACTTGTCTGTTGACATGCCTTCTACTCTGGGGTATTATGCTCACATGCTGGCTTTGCTTTTCTGCATAAAATTAGCATTTTCTTAAAACAAATAATCCGAGCATGCTCATCTTTTTTCTTTTGTAAGATACTGTTGTCTGGAGGTTAATTTTGATAAAGTAACGTGATAGCACAAAATGTTTTCTCTCTATGGTAATTTTACTACCATCCTGGTGTTCATGTACTTGGGAAAGTGAGATTAAATGTACATTCCATACTCTCTGTTCCTTTTTGATGGTTAGATCTTTATCTGAGTGTGCTTTCATGGCAGTTTAATGAAAAGCAAATTGGTGATAAAAGTAGTTGGGTTTATCAAATGTACTAAGCTTGTAGAAGATTAATTTAGCTACTGCAGTTGCGCATCCTAATTTCTCTTCATTCTGTCTTATAAAATAATGCTTGTTTTCAATCTTATTATTTTTTTAACAGGCGGATTCAGGAATGGGAGCAGCTGCTTTCTGAGATCAGTCAGTGTGAGTGTGAAAGTCTGTTAAAAATAGTGCTTCAGGAAAACGTCCAAAAAATATCACGTGAAGAGCTTCAGTGAGTATTTTCTGTGATTTATTTATTATACTTTTACAGTCTGTGTTTCATGAAGGTTTTTTTTTTTCCTAACCAACATCCAGTCTGGCTGCTCTTTGGTTTTGGGCAGTATTACTTTGTTTAACCTCCCTGGAGGTATTCCCGAGTATAGCTCGGGGTAAAGTTTCAGTACCACAAGCGGTAACCCCGAGCTACACTCGGGCTTACCATGCGGCGCTGCTCCGGGATCTCTCGATCACTTACCTTGTTCTACACTCCCGCGATGTCCCTCCTGCAGTGTCCCCGGCAATGTAATCCGGCGGATGCCGGCATCTGTCTTCTGGGTTCCGTCCCCTGTGAGCGTTGGGACGTACGGGGGACGGAACAGCGGGAAATTTGAAAATGACAAAAAGTGACATTCACTAAAATCACATAGTATAACATTACTGTACCAAACCATTTCACATACATTTTGTCCCGAGTGCTTTGTCCTGTGCCCTGCCTGCATTTTTACTGTTCTTTCTGCCTGGAAACTGAGAAACGTCCATGGCGTCCAAAAAGTGTCCCTTTAGGTCAAAAGCAGTTTTACACCGGCTAGAGAACAGCGATAGTAAATTAGAACCACTTGCAGAATTGAGTGATGATTCGTGGAGCAAATTCATCGTCAGACACTGAAAACGATTCTGCGACTTTGCTCAGTGATGTGCGAACTTGGCGCTATATCCCAAATTTCAGTGTTTTTGGTTTGATTATATTGAATTAAATTTATTATTATTACATTATTATTTTTTATGATTATTAAATTATAATTTCTGATTTCGTGTTTCAAATTGTAACATACCTGGGATGTTTACTAGACTCTTGTTCGGACAGATTTCAGTGAGTTATTCCTAAAAATTACTGGCCTACAATAAAAAAATACATATTTCCATGCAAAAAAAAATGTACCGCTTTGAGCACAGAAATATGGACATAATCAGACTGCTAGGGAGGTTAAAGCCCCTTCGTAAAATATTCCCCGTCAAAACCCCCTATAACTGGTTGCTGAAGTAGAAGAACAAAATAAAAAAAAAAAAATCTTAACTTGCCTGAAACTTGGATCACATGACACCACTAACCTGAGTCTACTCTTCTGTTTACTGCCTAGAAGGGTTTTTCTTTGAGTGTCCTCATCACTACCTCTCAGACATGGACACTTCTATCTGATGTCTGTCGGTAGGGTCTTCTCAGGAGAGAGAAGAGAAAAAAATAATTACAGGGGGATGGCTGGCGACAGGTGATCTTGAAGTGCCATTGCAGCGCTGGATCAGCAGTCCCCTGCACTGGTACCAGTCCAGTGGCAGTAATGGACCTGGACTGGGGAAACGTGATTATATCTAGTTTTTGTGCAGAGTGGGGCTTTAATAATTTGATTATTTATGATATACATAGGGGATTCTGTGACCTTTTGTACAGTTGTAGTCTTTCCTAAATTGCATTAGTTAATGACTAAATATTTTAAATGTTGCTTCTTTAAGGTGTTGACAATTCCCAATTGGTTAGAGCTCTGGGCTGTTTACTGGTATCTGTAAACTCTCATCCACTTTTTACATATGAGGAAAAAGTCAAAGCACAACAAATATAAATATTAATTTCTTGGCCTAAAACAGTGTTAGTCTGGGTTCACACTTGAGCGGTGTGGCATATTGAATGTGATTCGCACATTAATTCTGTGCGGTGCGATTTGAGCCATACGTTTTGTATGGCTCAAATCGCACCGCATCCACACCAAAAAGATGCCCTTTTTTTGTCCGCACTAGAATCGGATCACATGGGTATTCACACCCATGCAATCTGATTCTGCACATCACACCGTGTTTTGCGGACTAATTTCGGGGAATTAATATGCAGACCCACAGCGGTTCGCACGAACGGGTGTGATTTGTGATGTGGTGCAGAATTTGCACAGAAACCACTGTGATTTCCGCACTGCATCAGTGTGAACCCAGGCCTAATGCTTCAGCTCTCATTTTGTTTTTGCTTCCTTTTATTAAAAAAAATTATCATCTGATTGTGAAATCAAGTGTTTTTTTTTTTTGGTTTTTTTTTTTTGTTTTTTTTTTTGTTGCAGGAAAGCCATGCAGAAAGATCAAAATGAGCGTATTAGCCGATGCTCTCAGCATGTCAGTCAGCAGTTTGTGGATCAGTTTGTGGAAGGAGAACTTGACCAAATAGCCAAGGAAACGCTCCATGAGATGCAGCTCTGCAGGAAATACTTTCAGAGGTCTCACATGCAAGCTTCTCTAAATCTATAATATAACTTATGACTGTTATTTGCTTGGAATTGATTAACTGTTTTGTTCTCAGGTGGCGGGAAGTTTTGGCTGCTCGGAAGAAGCTAAGGCGCCAAATGCGAGGATTTCCAGCTGCTCCTGGTTTAATGGGCCATAATGGTACACTGAAGGCATTGATTCCCAGTGCTGTGCACAATTTGCAAACTCAGCCCAAGGGGATTGTGGATTTGGGGAATGCAGGGAAACTGTTTGTTTCTTTTATTAGGTGAGCTTTATATTATTTTTCAAACTGCTTTTGAGATTTACAGTTAAATGGCATGCTGCAAAAGATGAGGCTAGGGAAAATACTTTTACTTCTTTTTCATTTGAGTGCTTTGAAATGTTGGCGCTTCACCCCCAGTTAATGCTCTGTTAAACCTGAGCCCTTATTGTTTACATGTTACCATGGTAACTTTAAAGCAGAACTGAAGGCAAAATGTTTTTTTTACATTTTGCAAGGGTTATAACCCATCAGATTTTTTTTTGCCATCTGAGCTATTGGGGACATTCTCCTTTTACTTCTGTCTCATAGTCACAACAGGAAGTGAGAGGAAATCCCTCAAAAATGAGAGAAATCCCTGGCAGTCAACTGGGTTAACAGAACTACTGTCCCAATTGGAAGATTTTCCCTCTATTGCAGTTTGTGATTTTCATTCATGTTTAGTGATATTGGTGACCAGGACAAATAGGTTGAGTCTCCCTAATGGGGACACACAGCAAAAAAAAAAAAAAGACAAAAAAAACTGACAGTTAATCTAATCCATGTCCACTCTGTGTAAAACAAAAGTTTTTGCCTTCAGTTATACTTTCATGGATAAGTAAATTTTTTAGTGGAATTGTCCTTTTAGTAATCTTCCTTCACTACCTGTGTGCAGTCCACTTGGTAAATCCTTCCCCTGTTCTCGCAGCCACAGCCCTTACTGTTCAGCCTTAATCTGCCCTCTATAGCCTTTGCAAAGAAAATGTTCCGGACAGTTCCTCTCTCTACTTTGCACGTTCATGCCATCTATTACTATGCGTGACAGCCTCAATCCTCCCATCAGAGTATGTTATTTATTGGTGAATGGTAACATGATGTGCTTGTTCAATGAAGATCATAGAAAAAGGTGGACTGTATTCAGGGCAGTTGGGGTGGTTACTGAAGGTTGGGGTGATGTTTCTTCTTCACACTTGCACTTTGGGCACTTTTTATGCATTGTCATACACTGATCAGCCATAACATAATGACCACCCATATAATATTGCATAGGACCCCCTTTTGCTGCCAAAACAGCTCTGACCTGTTGAGGCATGGACTGCACTAGATAAAGCATCACATTTCCTCTGCTCGCTTGCCTTCTTTCCATAGTGCATCCTGGTGCACTGTCTTCCCCAGGTAAGTGACATACACGCACCCAGTCATCCACGTGAAGTAAATAAAACGTGATTCATTACTCTGTGGTCCAATTCTGATGCTCATGTGCCCATTATAGCTGCTTTTGACTGTGGTCAAGGGTCAGCATGATGTCCTCTGACTGGTCTGCAGCTACGCAGTCTCATACAAAATAAACTGTGATGCACTGTGTGTTCTGACCCCTTTCTGTTGAAACCAGCATAAACTTTTCCAGCAGTTTGAGCTACGATAGCTCTTCTTTTGGGTCGGAGTACACAGGCCAGCCTTTGTACCCCACATGCATCAGTGAGCCTTAAACCGCACATGACCCTGGCACTGGTTTTCTTTCCTTGGATCATATTTTGTAGATCCAGACTAGACTACTGCAGACTGGGAACATTTGCCAAGAGCTGCTGTTTGGCAGTTGCTCTAACCCAGTCGTCTAGCCATTACAATTTGGCCCTTATCAAAGTTATTCATATCCTTATGCTTGTCCATTTTTTTCTGCTTTCAACACATCAACTTCAGGGACAACAGGTTTACTTTCTGCCTGATTTATCCCTCCTGCTTTCAGGTGCCATTGTAACAAGATAATCAATGTTATTCACTTTACCTTCAGTGGTCATAATGCTATGGCTGATTGCTGCATGTTTACCACTGAAGGACTTTTTCTTTTTAATACAAAAAGCAGAGGCCATGTTTGCATCTTATTGCTCTATAGTCTGTCATGATTTTTTTCTCACTTTATAGCCCACAGCAGCGCACGGAACAAATTCTACACAAAATGAAAGTTCAGCATTTCTTTCAAGAGCTGCTTTGGTTTGTATTACATAGATTTAATTCTGTATGAAATTCTTTGTATTCGCTGTACAGTTTTTCTACAAATCTGTATGTTCATAATCACAGTGATGCTGCATGGATGCCGCTGGAGCTGCCATCTTTGATTGCAAACAACCTGCCCTCATGGAAGAACTGCATATTCTGGAAAATAGTTCTGGCTCTGCCTGAAAGAAGTCAGCCTGATGATCCTAACAGGTAAGAGGATTGTTTTATGTGCCCAATGTTGGCATTGCAGAGTATATTTTATTACAGCCCTCAAAATTTACACTCTCTCCACTCACATTGGGCGAGTGCAAATAGGGTGGGGGCAAGCAGCACCGGGACTAGGGGTGTATGGGAGGGGCGGCGGTGGGAGGCAGTTACAGGGAACGATCTCCTGTATGGCTTTCAATGAAGCAGCTGAAAGCCACAGGAGGGAGAGGAGAAGTGACCTCCCTCCCTCCCTCCCTCCCTCCCTCTCTTCCTTCCTCCCTCCCTCCCCTCTTCCTCCCCTCCCTCCCTCTCTCCGCTCCTCCCTCCCTCCCTCCCTTCCTCCCTTCCTCCCTCCCTCCCTTCCTCCCCTCCCTTCCTTCCTCCTCCCTCCCTTCCTTCCTTCCTCCCTCCCTTCCTCCCTTCCTCCCTCCCTTCCTCCCTCCCTCCCTTCCTTCCTTCCTCCCTCCCTCCCTTCCTCCCTCCCCCTCCTTCCTCCCTCCCTCCCTCCCTTCCTCCCTCCCTTCCTTCCTCCCTTCCTCCCCTCCTCTCTCCCTCCCTCCCTCCCTTTCTTCCTCCTCCCTTTCTTTTCTTCCTTTCTTCCTTCCTTCCTCTTCCTCCCTCCCTTTCTTCCTCTTCCTCCCCCCCCTTCCTTCCTCCCTCCCCTTCCTCTTCCTCCCTCCCCTCCCTTCCTTCCTCTTCCTCCCTCCCCTTCCTTCCTTCCTCTTCCTCCCTCCCCTTCCCTTCCTTCCTCCTCCTCTTCCTCCCTCCCCTTCCTTCCTTCCTCCTTCCCTCCTCTCCCCTTCCTTCCTTCCCTCTTCCTCCCCTTCCTTCCTTCCTCTTCCTCCCCTTCCTTCCTTCCTTCCCCTTCCTTCCCTTCCTTCCCCTTCCTCCCTCCCCTTCCTTCCTTCCTTCCTCTTCCTCCCTCCCCCCCTTCCTTCCTTCCTTCCTCTTCCTCCTCCCCTTCCTTCCTTCCTTCCTCTTCCTCCCTCCCCTTCCTTCCTTCCTCTTTCTCCCTCCCTCCCCTTCCTTCCTTCCTTCCTCCCTCCCTCTTCCTCCCACCCCCTTCCTTCCTCTTCCTCCCTCCCCTTCCTTCCTTCCTTCCTCTTCCTCCCTCCCCCTTCCTTCCTTCCTTCCTTCCTCTTCCTCCCTCCCCTTCCTTCCTCTTCCTCCCTCCCCTTCCTTCCTTCCTTCCTCTTCCTCCCTCCCCTTCCTTCCTTCCTTCCTTCCTCTTCCTCCCTCCCCTTCCTTTCCTCTCTCCTCCCCTCCCCCCCCCCCCTTCCACCCCTCCCTCAACTTGAAATTTTTTGAGCCCTGTTTAATATACTAATAACTTTTGTATTCCAGTGTTCTGTCTAAGTGGTTGAAGGCAAAGTTCTGCTGGGCAGGACTTCAGCCACTAGATGCCCAGAAGCAGCAAATTCAAACGCTGGCTCTCTACAACACATTAGTGTCACAGGAAGAATGGCCTGTGTCTTTAAACGTTTGTGTAAAGGTGTGTTTTTGTTTTTTTTTTTTTTAGCTTTGTCCTTGAAATAAACAGCTTTTTTATGTTTTTTGTGTGTGTGTGTGTATGTATATGTGTGTGTATATGTGTGTGTGTGTATATATGTATGTATATATATATATATATATATATATATATATATATATATATATATATATATATATATATATATATATATATATATATATATATATATATATATATATATATAATTATTATACAGTATTTATATAGCGCCAGAAAGGTTTGCTCAGCGCTGTACATTATAGTGGGGGACAGTACATGAGACAATACAGTAACAAAACACGAGGGGGTCAAGGGCCCTGCTCTTTCGAGCTTACAATCTAGATATATAGTAAACTCTATAGTAAGCTGTTACTCGATCAGGGGTGCTCAGCCTTTTGAAGAGCGAGGGCCACTTAAGTGAGTTGGTAAACATTCGTGGGGCACAATGAAATGGTTCAGAATTTAGATTTTATTTTGAAAAAAACTATTTTATTTCGAGTAGCATAATGAACATTTTCCTGCTGCAGCTGCTGAATGCCAGTGGGTGGGAGAGGAGGAGAAGCCAGCTTTCATTGGTTGCAGGAGGAAAGTGAAGAGGATCTGTTATTGTATATGCCATCCCCTCTGTCCAACTGTAAAACAGAATGTGACAAGGAGGTTGCACTAGCGCACCAAACTCGCAGCATATAATAGAAGTCTATGGCTCAGGTCAGCTAACCCACAGGAAATCCACAGGTGCAATGTGCTGCATCCATGGATCAGTATGAAAGCAACTTAACCTCTTGCCGCCCGGCCAATGGCCGAATGGCGGCCGGCAAAAACCCTCATCTTTCCGGGTGGACGCCATATGGCGTCCTCCCGGGCGTGTGCAGTTTGCGCGCTTGCAGAGCCGCGCAGCGGCGCGATCTGTCACTGGCCGTGTACCTCGGACACGGCCGATGACAGATCTGAGTACCGGCCCCGTTGCTGGTACCTTGTGACCTGTTGTGACCAATCACAGCAGGTCACATGACAGTTGTATACAGTGAATGGCTTCATTCATGCCATCCATTGTATACTAGTGTGTCTAGCTGTGAATGGTCACAGCAATCACATGCACGAGCTGTGTCATGTGATTAGCCGTGGCCAAATCACACAGCTAAGCAAAAAAAAAAAAAAAAAAAACCCTGAATGAATCGATGTCATTCAGGTAAATGCTTGCTTATTGCAAAGTAATTCTTTGCTATAAGCATATTGTGTGAAAAAAAAAAAAAAATACTGATCACTTCCCCAAAGTAGTACAATGTTACTATGGTAACATTGTACTACTTTAGTCATAGTGAAATATGAAAATGTTAAAAAAGAAAAAAAGTAATGAAAAATTAAAAATAATAAAAAAATGTAAAAAAAATAATTTTTTTTTCATACTGTCACCAGTCAGTGTCCCTGATCACCGCCATGCCAGTTATATTATGATGCTGTACTGCACTGGTGACAGTATGTGAAAATAATTTTTAAAATGTTTTCATTTTTCGAAACATTATGACCAAAAAAAATACAACTTCAAAAAACTCGCCATGCCTCTTATGAAGTACGTCGGACTGTCTACTTTGCAAAAAGGGTCATTTGGAGGATATCTGTACTGTTGTGACATTCTTAGACCTCAAGAAATTAGATTGGCTGTCAGTACTTCAGGACTGATCAATTTTCAGATATATACCATAGTTTGTGAACGCTATAACTTTCCTACAAACTAAAAAATACATCCTAATTGGGGTTTTCACCAAAGACATGTAGCAGAATACATCTTGGCCTAAATTTATGAAGAACAATTATTTATTTGCAAACTTTTATAACAAACAAAAACGTGTTTTTTTTTTTTGTTTTTTTTTGTTTTTTTCCAAATTTTCGGTCTTTTTTTTGTTAATTTAGCAAAAAATAAAAACTCCAGTTGTGATTAAATACCACCAAAAGAAAACTCTAGTTGTGTGAAGAAAATAATATTTAAGTTTGGGTACAATGTTGTATGACTGTGCAATTGTCATTCAAAGTGTGAGAGCGCTGAAACCTGAAAAATGGCCTGGGCAGGAAGAGGGTAAAAGTGCCCTGTATGGAAGAGGCTAATAGCTGTTAACCCTTTTATAGGTGCTAATATGTCCATTGCTAAAGCGCAGTGTATGTGTTTAATACACTGACCTTCCTTTCCTGTTCCAGCTTCTGCTGGCATCGCTATCTGTCTCCGGGCTGCTAGAAAGGTCCCAGGTGAAGCGCACTTGGCATGATGCTCTGGAGTGGCAGGTCATCAAGCCCAGATCGTGATCAAGGGGTTGCTAACCCTGGGCATGCACTTCCCTGGTTTAGGGTCAAGGGCCACATCAGAGAGCTCCGCGGGTGATAGGTTGAGCACCCCTGTACTAGATCCTTAACTATCATTGCAAGATCCTGTGAATTATTTTTTGTTTACATATTTTTTTTTGGCAGGCAGTACATGGACCTCTTACAGATTCTGAGCTAGACAAAGCTGAATGTCAGAATGAGTTATGGGGAACCAACAGCCTTGTGTTTCTCTTACCATTTACATCTGAAAAAACTGAAGAGTACTGGATTTCAGCAATCTTGCAGCTAAAACAGTTACTGAACTGTAAGCCCTTTAAGCCAGCACCAAGCCTTGCTGTGCTAGTACCAGAATCTTCTCCAAAGGAAAATGTAGAGGAAGGTCAGTTTTTTTTTTTTTTTTTTTTTTTGGTATGTTCGTAACAATATTACTTTTAAATTCCTAATGTGACTTTCTTTTCACAGAACTTGGTCTTCAGGACCTGGTGTCATGTGACCTTATCGTGGATTACATTGTGCTGTCAGTACCAGAAACTGTGACTAACATGGAAGGAACTGAAGTGGTAAATTATCCTGCGTTTTTCACATTAACGTCTACAATGTAATTGTTAACAATAAACATAAGCCTGCCATGCCTGAGTCAAATTAAGTCCTATTCCCAGCTGAATGGCCCAGTCGGCACCAACTGACTTGACAAAAGTCAGTTGTTTCTTCCACTTTCCTTCAAGAATTCTAGTTGAAAATCGTCAACTAAACAGTGACTACATCCAGTCAGATGCAGTCATTGTTTCGGGCATTCTGACAGCCATGGGTGCTGGCTGTTAGAATGCAATAGCATGGGTGGCAGAATCTGTTACATTTCTCTCATTCATCTTGCAAGCTGCATGAGAGAAATTTATACTTTTATGGTGAGCCATGGCAGTCTAAGGGTACATGCACACAGCCATGTGAAAATACAGTATGTGACGCCGCTGCTACATACACTTTATACTGCAGATCCAGCGGCCTCACATGTTCTTGAGGGAGAAAAAAGTATATCAAAAGGTGGGAATCCGCTATAATATATCCATATTTACAGAAAGTTACAACAAATGTCCGTTTGAGACCATCTGTTTGTTTTTTAATTAATTATAGGTGTCTCAGAAGGGCAGATACATGAACAGAACATTATTTATTTCAGGCACTTATATAGCACTGTCAATTTACGCAGCGCTTTACACATATATATTGAACATTCACATCAGCCCCTAACCCTCAAGGGGTGTACAATCTTAGGTCCCTAACTTACATTCATACATTTACATATTAGGGCCAATTTAGACAGGATCCAATTAATGTACCAGCATGTCTTTGGAGTGTGGGAGGAAACCGGAGCACCCAGAGGAAACCCACGCAAGCACAGGGAGAACATGCAAACTCCATGCAGGAGGCGCCATGGTCGGGAATCGAACCCATGACCCATTTACTGCAAGGCAGACGTGCTAACCGCTAAGTCACTGTGCTGCCCATAATATTTCAGGAAACTGGAGGAAACCCACACAGGGAGAGCAAGCAAACTCCAGGCAGGTGGTGCTGTGGTTTGATTTGACTAAGGTTGTTGGTTCAGATCCCAACCACAGCACCACCTGCCTGGAGTTTGCTTGCTCTCCCTGTGCGGGTTTCCTCCCACAGTTCAAAGATATGCTGCTGATACTAATACAGAGCCCATTCTGGAGGACGGCTTGAGGTGCTGCAGACTACCCAGGGGAAGGGGATATCTCTCTGACCAGACCAGGCTGTTTACATCCTTAAGGGGAACTCCGCAGACAACATTATATATACAAATACGTACTATGATTACGCATCTGGTGAGTGCGTAATATTAATATATTCACGGCACACCACCTGGATAATATAGGGAGCACTTACCTGTGATCCTTTTGGATGGATCCTCACGAGTAGCACTTTATGGACATTCCCATGATTATTTGAATTAGACATTCAGTACTATCAAGTGCTCACGATTGTCATTTTATTAGCACCTTGATGTGGATGTTTTATATTTGCACTTTGTCACTTTATTAACCACCTATCATGTGATTTGTGCATTCATACATTTATATACATGATATTGATCCATTTGTGGCGCTGCACCTTTATTTTGAGGTTTTTACGGTGAAGAGATCGGGAAATATCATTTTGTAGTTCTCTTTATCTTGACTAATTCGGTCCTTTTGTTGATGTGATATTTTTTGTATTAGGAAACGTGGTCGATGCACTAAACTTTTCCATTTCAAAATCCCTCTCACTATTTATTTGAAGTTTGTGCACCACCACCCATGTAGTCTGTTTTTTTAATTTTTTTATGATTGAACTGATTGATTGACGGGAGGTATTCTGTAGGAAATAAACCTCCTGTCTAACATTCTGACGTCTGTCGTTTTTTCATTGACAACTAATGTGACTTTATATTGGTGAATGTTTCTTGATGCATTTTCTGGATTAAATGTGCAGGGACTGGTGTCAGCCCTTCCCGGGCGGCACTGGCTACACTACAGAATCACTCCACATCTTCTAATTTCTTCAGTATATGGATGAAGTGTTTTGTAGTCCATGATGAGAACTAGTAGAGCTGATTACACTTTTTTAGATAATGCAGGCAGAATGAACAGACCACAGGAGACTTATAAATTGCTGGCAGGATCAACAGGTTAGATTTTTGCACTTATTGAAAAGATATTAAAAAATGTTTTTAGTGGTTACAGGCCAAAGGGGAGCAAATAAGAAAAGCTCATTGTTAGGATTGTTACATACCCTTAAAAATAAATGTGCTAGGCATTTTAGCCTTCTGCAGGTAACTATAATACCTTTGAACAGGTACAACGTGGTACCTGCCATTGTTTGTCATCCAGAAAAGAATTGGTTTCCCTACTTTAAAGGGAAACTTTAAAGGGAAACCCCACTTTTGTGAAATAGAAAAAGCAAATAAAAAATAAATATAGCATACACAATTGCAACACAAGTCATATTTTAATTGAATGTTCTTAAAAATTACTTTTCCTAATTAATCTGCAGCACTGTAATTTTCTGCAAAATGCAATATGGCTACCTCTAGGGGTTCTGTAAACAGATGGTGTACAGAATGACCCCAGATATGTCATTTCCTGCTTGTGTGATTGGCGTATTTATTTTCCAGACGTCTGCACTAAGATGCAAGTCAAATTTTGGGCATCCTCTGCAACAAAAATGGACTGTTAAAAAATGTAAAATGGCTAACAAGTTTTCTTTATGTCTATATAATGTGCTGCTGAAGTGTAGGCATAAAAAAATGTAGCTAAAAGTGACTTTTGTATTCCTCCAGAATGTTAGGGTGTGCCCAGGATGCCACTCTTTGCCAAGCCTTGGCCATTGCAAGTTCTTCATCCAATAATGTCATTCAGCAACACTGGGCCAGAAGCTCTACTGGTCTCTGACGTTGTGGAATAAGGTTGTTTGATGGAATGCATCTATTAGTGCTGATTTAAAGAAACTCTGATATACAAATTTATGTATGAATTTATGTATTAGATCTTTTCACAGTTCAGTCATTTTCTCATAGCTATTGGTTTCTTGAATTTTCTCTGTCCATGTCCTAGTAAAATATGCATTCAATCACTGCATAGAACAGAGGTCAAATGTCATTTTTTATTAACAAACTCTCACTCTTTTATCTTTACAGGTCGCTTCTGCTGTACAGTTCTTGCTTTCCCGTGGTCCCCGCTCTCCACAGTTACATTCACTTCCATTCCGACAGTATATAGAGGATGGGGTTTATCATGCATTCAGTGATCCTTTCTATCATGACATGTCCAGCCGTCGAAAGTCCGGCCTTCCCTCTCAGGACCCTACAGCTATCATTGATTTATATAACAGCACTGTTGCCTACTTGGCAAAGGTGGTTTCATCGAGCCGACTTGTGGAATTGTCCTGGCCTGTGACAGAGTTCACATCTTCAAGAGGCAGCTTCGCCATGCCACCTATAGACTGGAACAGTCTAGAACACCTGTCTTGGCTAAAGAAAGCTGTACTTTCCTTTCAGATTCCAGAAATGGACAAGCCTCCAGAGGGAGGTGAGCACTTAAAAAGTAACTTGATTTTAGTGTTGCATGCTCGTAGCCAGCCTGGGCCATTTAGTGACACCAAACTCTGGTTAAATAAATATTTTAGTATGTATTCCTAACTCAAACAGTACCTTCAGTTGTTCTGAGAGCCCCCCCCCCCCAAATTGCTTGATTCCTTTTTTGTTTGCTAAAATATAAAATCAGAACTTGTGAGCTGCTAAATAATTTTAAAAATACAATATGCTGATTAGTGGATTTTCCTGCATCTCACACATACTCGTGCCAATGTGATCAATAATAAATGCCAAAATGTGCTGCGCTCCACTTGTTAACGGTCTTATCAAATCATATATTCACCTATATATACACACATGTGCTCCTATTGACAATTTGTGCAATAAAAAATAAAATATATTCGCTATAAACATCCGCTATAAAAAAAGTGTCCATATGCATAGCAAAAAATGTCCATAAATACATCTTCAGAAATACGTGTTCACTTGAAATGAATTCGGTGCTTCTTAATTCACATCTTGTGTGAAATAACTTTAAAATGCATGCATCCCCAACAGTTGTGCTCTCACGTCAAAAATATGACCAAGCTGTTAAGTGAGGTCCTATAACGCTTGTGTCCCTTTAATTGGACCAAATGTGGATGGGATGGTATCCTGCTGAATGGGATCCCCCTCACTTATCAATAGGCTCTCCTCCCACGGTGGTTTGTATAAAGGAATAATCAGATCATAGTGTTCTTTCCTTGGGTAACATTTTATTAATAAAAGGTAGTGCACTCACATGATATCTGTATATAAACTGCTTTATGCAAAACTGATCCTCGAGTTCTGGCAGTGGTGAAAATCCTAAATGTACCAGCTGGTGTCAGTATGGAACCGCCGTTACGCCACCGGTCACGTGGCTTCATCAGGATGGAATGATTCATTCTCTCTGAAGCCACATGACCGGTGGCGTAATGTGTAGGGGAGGGGCTTTGACGTCACAATGCTCGATAGTTCCATACTGACATCAGCTGGTACATTTAGAATTTTCACCACTGCCAGAACTCAGGAAGATATTTTTTGCATAAAGCAGGTTTATAGACAGATATCATGTAAGTGCACTACCTTTTATTAATAAAATGTTACCGAAGGATAAAACACTATGATCGGATTATTTCTTTATACAAACCACCATGGGAGGAGAGCCTATTGACAAGTGAGGGGGATCACATTCAGCAGGATACCATCCCATCCACATTTGGTCCAGTTAAAAGGACACAAGTGTTATATGACCTCACTTAACAGTTTGGTCATATTTTTGAGGCGAGAGCACAACTGGTGGGGATGCATGCATTTTAAAGTTATTTCACACAAGAGGTGAATTATGAAGCACCAAATTCATTTCAAGTGAACACATATTTTTGAAGAAGTACATAGACATTTTTTGCTATGCATATGGGCACTGTTTTTTATAGCGAATGTTTATAGCGAATATATTTTATTTTTTATCGCACAAATTGTCAATAGGAGCACGTGTGTGTGTGTGTATGTGTATATGTATATGTATATGTATATGTATATGTATGTATATGTATATATATATATATATATATATATATATATATGTGAATATATATATAGGTGAATATATGATTTGAAGATATTGTTAACAAGTGGAGCACAGCACATTTTGGCATTTATCCTTTTTGTTTGCTGCTTTGATCTGACTTTGTTGGAGGATGGCTACATTTGTTCTCCATTGTCCCACTGTAAATAAATAAGAACATAGCTGCCCTCTTTTGCTGGCTCCTAAAATGGACTGTGCAGTGTGCATAGAGCAGTTCACAAGAGAACAACTAATGTTCACTGCTTGTTCCAAAACCATCGGAAATGAGGGTGGAAAGAAGAGGTTTGGGAGCTTATGGAAAATGTTACAAGGAGGCTGAAAAAATGCAGTAAGAAACAATTTCATGAAAAATAGATTACAGGGCAATTAACTATTGGATACGTATGTATGATTTTTGGAGAAGGTTATAGTTTAGTCACTTTAATAACTTCTCCCTTGTGATCTCTCTGTTAGTTCCCAACACTCTAGAACCACACTGGGACTTTTTAGACTTGCATGTGTAGGTGGATGAATAAAAACTTCAAACAAGTTCAGCAACCCTAGTGAGGCAGCTCCCACAAAGCAAGGTTTCCCTTGATGGGCACCCAACAGTAGCTCACACCATAGAAATACATAAATCAAGGACAGGCCAAATCTTTCACCTGGTTTTGTCTGGCACTCATTTCTGTATTTCTAGAGTTCTAGCAAGTGGGAACTTAAAACCATGTCAGCCTGAATGAAACTAGATGGACTTATTAAAAATTAGGCAGCTTGTGGCTGCCTGGATCTGCCCAGTTCTGTAAAGCTCTTCCCACCAACAGCCTTAAGGATCTTTTTCTCCTCTGTGACAGCAGTGTAAGGTTTCCCTCTTACTGCCCACCCCTCTAACGGGCTTGCCCAGAGTCTACTCGCATGCGCCATTTGTGGGCTGAAGGAGCCTGGAATATGTGAAATGGTGCGTGGTGCTAAGCCCTTCTGCAGGTGACAGGAACAAGATGCTTTTTTGGCCAGTGACTGATCCAAATAAATCACTGTCCAAATAAGACATATCGTTTTTAGAGCAAGGTAGAGGATATTTTTTTTCTTTAAAATCAGAACACATACAGAGGAAGGATGGGTTGAAAGAAAAAAAAAAATCAAGCCTGGAGATGAGCTTAAGATAGGCAATCTTGACTCACCAGCATCTACCTCTAATCAAAATACTGTACAGTATGTCGTAGTTGAATTTCTGACCCCCTTTTTTTTTCTTATTTCTCTTTCTTCCAGCTCCCTGGCATCTTGTGTGTTCCATGATTAGGGATTACATATCTCAGATATCCAGGTCTTCAGAAGCTTTGCCTGTATTGGACTCAGAAGTACAGATGCTTCTTGGAGGTGTTTGGAATCATTGTCTGGAAAACAGTGGAGGTGAAGGGTCAGACACTCTGAACTATGAAATCCCCTGGGATGACTTAATCGCTCTTTGCATCAATCACAAGTTGAGAGACTGGCATCCTCCTTTTAATCCACATGTTAAAGGTATTAATGTATGCACCCACATTTTCATAGAATTTAAATAGAAAGTCAGCTTTAAAATAAACAATGTTTAGCAGACTAGGATTGTGAGAGAGTAGTCGGGAGATAAGTTTATCTGTATACATTTCTACTTTACCAGATTCCGACTTGACCAATCACATGTCACAAATATCTGCAATTACAATCTTCTATGTTTTGTAGAAAGGGAAACTATCACATGTATTTATTAGACATGTCTGTTTTGTGATAACTTTACTCAATCACTTAAAACATTACATCTTACCAGTTCTTAGATGTAGTGGCTGCAGTAGTTTTTAAAGAATAAGACCACCATTCATAACATGTTACACTCATATCCAGGGTGTAATGTGTTACTTATGGAGTGGCCCCCCGCTCCCCTGTGTGACAGCAGGTTGAGGATCTTCTCTCTGCTCCTGCTGTCACAATAAAAAAAAAAATGGCCATGCCCAGCCGCATCATTTATTCACAGAGTTCTGTGAATGGGAGAACTACCACTACTGTCAGCCATTGTGGTTGACAACTTGCAGTTCTCAATGAACTACCAGGACACTGGTGGGAGAGCTCTAGTAGTTAATGGACTCTTCCTGTCATTAAAGCCTGATACTCACGATGAGAATATCAGGCAAATACTCATCCATTTTTTGGTGTTTTTTTTGCATGCTAGTTTATTATCGAAAGTGAAGAGGTTGCTAAAGTTATGAAAATTCTCACAGAGAATACGACAGAATACAACTTCAGAAATGATGTAATATGTTGTATTATATTGCAATGTATTCTTTCATTTCTGAGCTTGTTGCTATCCTGGGTTTTATTTTTTTATTTTTTTTATTTTTTTGATGAATACTGTACTGATTAAAAGAAAATCATGTAATCTGGTATTGTATGAAAGAAAATGTTCATGTTTGTCCCTTCAAATAATTTTGGGCGAAAGCTGTTTACTAATGATTAGGTTATCGTATGATCGCTTTCAAAGCAGTATTTTTCATCCGATTTTCTGATTGTGTACTAGGCTTAAGTAACTGCAAACACATGTATGCACAGGATGGTTTTTAATGGTTTTAAGGTTGCACCCAGAGTTGGCACACTTTGCTGAGTTTTCTCATTAAGTAACTGCATACAGCTACACTGACAGTCTGCAGAAGCCTGAGATTGCACCTGTGATTTTGCTGATTGTGAGTGCAATGCTTTATTATTATTATTATTATTATATTATTATTATTATACACAGTATATAGCGCTAAAAGGTTTGCACAGCGCTGTACATTATAGTGGGGGACAGAACATGAGACAATACAGTAACAAAGCAAAACACGAGGGGGTCAAGGGCCCTGCTCTTTCGAGCTTACAATCTAGGAGGGAGGGGATAGTGGTACACGAGGAAGTGGCTGTGGGGGATGGAGTGGTAGGAGGAGATCAGCTGTTGGGTGAGGGCGGGGTATGCTTCTCTGAAGAGATGGGTTTTCAGGGTGCGCCTAAAGGTGAGGAGGGTAGGTGACAGTCTGATGGATTGGGGTAGTGAGTTCCAGAGGATGGGGGAAGTCCTGCAGTCGGGCGTGGGAGGTGGAGACCAGGGAGCTAGAAAGTAGGAGGTCTTGTGAGGATTCGAAAAGTACGGGTTGGATGGTATTTGGGTATCAGGTCGGTGAGGTAGTTTGGGGCAGCGTTATGAATGGCTTTGTATGTCTGTGTTAGTAGTTTGAATTTAATGCGTTGGGCAATCGGGAGCCAGTGAAGGGAATGACAGAGGGGGGTGGCAGAAGCGGAGCGGTTGGTAAGGTGGATGAGTCTGGCCGCTGCGCTCAGGATAGACTGAAGCGGGGGATAGTCTGTGATGAGGTAGGCCGGTGAGAAGGGAGTTGCAGTAGTCCAGACGTGAGATAATAAGGGAGTGAACGAGTTGTTTAGTAGTGTCTGGGGTTAGGAACGGACGTATTTTGGAGATGTTGCGGAGGTGGAGCCTGCATGAGTTTGCCAACGATTGGACATGGGGTTGGAAGGACAGGTTTGAGTCTAGAGCAGTGGTTCTTAACCTTGTTGGAGGTACTGAACCCCACCAGTTTCATATGCGCATTCACCGAACCCTTCTTAATTGGAAAAATAAAATATGATTTTTAAAATTCAAAACATAGGTATATATTTAGGTATATATTTATAAATAGGTGCACACAAATAGGTGCACAAAATGAACAAAACCGTTAAGAACAAAGAACAAAACCATTAAAACATGATTTTCACACAAAAACAAAAACATAATAATGAATATTTACTGCACGAATCATATGAGTCGGGTGTGGGTCTTCACCTCCGCCGAACCCGCGAGAGACTGACTCACCGAACCCCTGGGGTTCGATCGAACCCAGGTTAAGAACCACTGGTCTAGAGTGACACCTAGGACTTTGGCTTGCGGGGTGGGACTGATGGTAGTGGTGTTGGTCGTGATGGAGAGGGTGGGGGGAAAATCAGGAGCTCAGTTTTGGAAAGGTTCAATTTGAGGAAATGGAGCGACATCCAGTCTGATATGTCGTTCAGTAGGTGGGTGATACGGGTGGAGACTAAAGGGGTGAGGTGAGGGGTGGAGAGGTAAATTTGCGTGTCATCAGCGTAGAGGTGATAGTTGAAGCCATGGGAGTGTATCAGTTTGCCGAGGGAAGAGGTGTAGATGGAGAAGAGAAGGGGCCCGAGGACAGAGCCTTGGGGGACCCCAACAGAGAGGGGGAGGTGGCAGCATTATAGGTAAATGTAATTAGTGTAGCTACCCTAGAACTGATGCAGCCACCACATCTAAAGAATGGTAAGCTGCAATATTTTTCATATTTTTTTTTTTTTTTTTTTTAGGTTTAGATGCACTTTAAAAAGAATAAGTCAGGATGCATGAAACCTGTGTAGAAAGAGGCAGCAACAGTAATTTCTGAACTCATGGCATATTTATTGTATCTGAGGGAGTCCTTTTAAGTATTAGTGAAGCTAAATAACTATAGTTTCACTCCACTAGAATGTAGTATATAAACAATGGAAAAGGAGCTTCCATCGGAGCCCTATTCCACAGCTATTTGTCAGCCTCCCATTAAAATCCTACCATTTTTTCATTTCTCATACCAGAATTCTATGTCCAGGACTATAAAAATACTACTGAAGTCGACATTATTAGTCTGGGTTGTAAATGACCTTCCTGTTTTTAGAAATCAGATACTTACCACAGTCTATCATTAATAGTTTTATTTGCCTTTTTTCCCATAGGTTCCCCGGAGGACCTTTATGTTTATTTCTTTGAAAAGGATTTGGAAAATTTCAAATTGCCAGAAAACGTGGATGAATGCTTGTCACACCACAGATAAAGACATACTGGTGGCTAGTGAAAGGTGATTATTCAGAGTAATTGTTCTTGAAGCTGAACTCCAGGGAAATTAAAGCAAAAAATCTCCTGCACTGCAAGGGTTAAATGCTCATTTTTGCCTAGGGTATCTGAAAAAATACATATCCCTTTCTTCCCTCGCAGCTGGTGTCTTCTCTCTGACACATCAGGTTGTGATCTAGCCCTTAAAATGCAGGACTTCTGGTTCTGCATTGTACGTGATAGCGTCAGAGATGTCACCACTGAACAGAGCACCTTAGAGAATCTTCAGAGGAACCAGCTGAATGCACGGTGGAGGCTGGAGGAGCAAGAGATAAAGTGGGTAAAAATACTCTAGGTAAAAGCAAGCAGTCTTTGCAGTGCAGGGAAAGTAGTTTTTTGTTATTTAATTTCTCTGCAGTTCACCTTTAAAGTCAGAGTTCCCTTTTTACTGTTTTTTTTTTTTTTTTTTTTTTCCCATGTTATTTATCTTTGTCCCCTTTGCCCCTACCCACTTTTATTTATTTTTTAACTTTAATAGTTGCCATGGGTAACACACTGATTACATTTTAGTGCAGTTAATTACTTTAATACCACCGTACATCTTAAACTCCTGATACGTGTACCGATGTCTATTTGTTCAACAGAAGCCAGTCATTAGGCCTGCTTCTGTCAGTCATGCTGGAAGACCAGAATTTGATCATTGCTTGCGGTCAGTGGCTGCAAGTGCTGATCTGTGCATTCTGTCAGGGAGAGTACAAAAGAACAGCGAGAGACATCCTTGCATCAACATTGCGCTTGTTGATGCGGGGATCTGTCAGGTTTTTTTTTTTTTTTTGTGTTCAACCCGCTGGTTGGGCAAAAAAATAAAACCTCTATACGTATGCCCAGCTTTTTAGGATCAAGCTTGTAGGTAGTTGCAGTGTACATGATCACAATGGGATGGTCACATGCTCTAGGGAGGCGGGGGTTTGGACCCCCTCATCTTTCCCCCACCAATCCTTAACTATGCCCCTTCTTGGGATCATCCCCTACTTTGCTGAACTCAGAACAATTTGTATGCCATCCCTAATTTGAATTGACTCCTGTAAAACTGGTTAACAGGCAAGGGTTTTAAAAGCTGGCCATTGACTGCTCAAACTCGGCTGCAGGAACTGGCCGAGATTTGAACCATGTATGGGCATGATGAATCTGCGATCAATCAACTTGGGTACAAACAGCCACTTTTTACATACGATTATTGCTAGAAGCTGCTTATAGCTTTTAGCAGTAATCACTGTGTTCTCCCGGTGGTGACCGCTTCCCCCACCCCCCTGCCGGGAGAACACAAAGGCCCTCTGGAATTGAGCAAATTTTTCAGGGTTGCAAGGAAAGAAATTCATACAGTCTATGGCCAGCCTAATCGTTTAGAAGGAAACAGGTTTTTGTTAAACCCATTATGCACATTCATTAAGTATTAGGTAATCTCATATTAATGCTGCATTAAAAGCGTTATTGCTGTTAGCTTGGGAACGAAAACAGAAAATCAGGCAAATGTTGCCAATTCAGACAGTCTCTTGTGACTCCAGTGCTAATTCCAGTGCAGATATAATAACCTCCATTCCTAGAGTAACTGTTGCACATTTACTAATAATTTGCAAGGATATTTTTCCTAGTCATACAGTACAGGATACAGACACGTTAATCGTTAAAGCTGGAGTATATGCCACAACCTTCAGGACACTGGACAATTGGCAATAAAGCTGCAGGGACATCTCCCTTTTTAACACTTCTCACAACCAGCTATCATCAGTTTTTTTGCTAGTGTCCTTCAGTGATGGACCTCATCTCTCTATTGAGATAAGCTTGCCCTCCATATAGGAAGGTTTCTCTGTCTTTTTTTTTTCTCTTTCTAGATAATTATCTTCCAAGATGATGATTCTATTGATTCACTGCTCCACAGCCTCTGTGACTCTTCATTCTTCCAGATCTGTTGACTCCTCAGCAGAGTCTTGGGGGACCATAACTGGGCCCCACCTGATAGAAGATGCAAGGCTAGCCTGTAATGTTGTATGTTAGATATGTGTATCACCTAACCCCAAAATCCCCTCAAAAAGTCACGCCTTCTCCCCCAGAAAGCAACACAATATTACAACCTTTTTGAAATTATATAAACAAATTCAAACAGATGAATATAATCATAAATTACAAAAATTGGAAAAAATCATAAAATTCAAAAATACAAAAATAAAAAGTAATTAAAAAAAGTCCAGCATAAAGTGTCCCAAAATGTCCCAATGTAAACACAAATAGTGTCAAACAGAAATGGTGTCCCAAAATTGTCCAAATCTCCAAATTTTATCCAGTCAGAAGAAATTCCCTTTCATCCCGCAATACCTCGAAAAAAACAAATTCAGAAATCTAGTGCATTACCTTTATAAATAATAATATATATATATATATTCTCTTCGTGCAAAAATAAAACACAAAAACACAAAAAAGTGTGCAAACACTATATATGTGTATTTTTCCGTGCACATGTGAATGAACCGTGACCACTCAGTGAGCACTGCAACAGTGTGTATCCACCAACACCAAAAGTATTGGACACTATTTACCCTCTGTATCCTTATACCAGCATCCACATGAGATCTGAATGCTCCAATGAAAATTATTCCAAGGTCCTTCTTCCTTGTTTCTGCTATACTCAGCTGTCTTCTTGCAAAAAGCCAAACGAACTTTGTTGCAGAGTCCAGATGCTTCTGCTCTGAAGAAAAGGCTGTTGTCTCCCATTCAGATTCTTTCTGCAGACAACAGCCTTTTCTTCAGAGCAGAAGCATCTGGACTCTGCAACAAAGTTCGTTTGGCTTTTTGCAAGAAGACAGCTGAGTATAGCAGAAACAAGGAAGAAGGACCTTGGAATAATTTCATTGGAGCATTCAGAAGATCTCATGTGGATGCTGGTATAAGGATACAGAGGGTAATAGTGTCCAATACTTTTGGTGTTGGTGGATACACACTGTTGCAGTGCTCACTGAGTGGTCACGGTTCATTCACATGTGCACGGAAAAATACACATATATAGTGTTTGCACACTTTTTTGTGTTTTTGTGTTTTATTTTTGCACGAAGAGAATATATATATATATTATTATTTATAAAGGTAATGCACTAGATTTCTGAATTTGTTTTTTTCGAGGTATTGCGGGATGAAAGGGAATTTCTTCTGACTGGATAAAATTTGGAGATTTGGACAATTTTGGGACACCATTTCTGTTTGACACTATTTGTGTTTACATTGGGACATTTTGGGACACTTTATGCTGGACTTTTTTTAATTACTTTTTATTTTTGTATTTTTGAATTTTATGATTTTTTCCAATTTTTGTAATTTATGATTATATTCATCTGTTTGAATTTGTTTATATAATTTCAAAAAGGTTGTAATATTGTAATGTTGTATGCACTGAATCCTGCTGTGGATACTCCCCATGGCATATACTTTCCCAGGCTGTGGTGGTCTGTCAGGAGCAGAACCCTGTCCCTGAAGACCCCCTGCAGGGGTATGCCCACCGTGGATGGCAAGACCAAGATGGGGTTAATTCAGTTAATCCATTCTACTAGATTGTGACAAGTACAGGGCCATATCCATTTAAACTTTATGCCCAGGGTGCCCATAATTCCTTAGAATCCTCCTTTGGGTGTATGAAAGCCACCAACCACCTTTCTGGTGGTTATCTCAAAGATTTGTGAGTGATGAGGTTAATTTAAACTTGGTGCTTTTTCTCAAGTGAATAGGCTTTTAGTGAATTGGAGATGTTTCAAGTCCTTTGCCATAGGTGTGGGTTGTGGTTGCTGGCTTCCGGATTCAACAACAAACTGGGCAGGTTTGTTGCCAGGTTTGGACCTGGCAACAAACATGCCCAGTTTGCTGTGAAGGCCAGGGCTCCTGGCCTTCATAGTGGATGCTCTGGTGACACTGGGATCAGTTAAGGTCTATGGCTTTCTGCCCTCTAGATTCTCCCTTGCCATTGTTGCAGAATTGAGATGGAGGGCATTGCGATTATCCTTATTGCACCAAATTGGCGCAGGAGAGCATGGTATTCTGATACCTGGCAAACACTCCGTGGGCCCTTCAGGATTGTCCAGACCTCTTATCCCATAGGGCAGTGTTCCATCTTGCTTCTAGGTCAATGTCTTTAACAGCAGAGCTGTTGAATCCACGATCCTAAGGGCCTTTCGGATTCAATCATCCCCACCATGTTGAAGACCAGGAAGTTGACTTCTTGTAAAGTCTATAATCGCACTTCGAAGGCCTGTTTTGCTTGATATGTGTTGAGGAAGTTCCATCCTGTAAATTGTTCCATGGGTCGTGTTCTGTCATTCTTCCAGGCCAGTCTGAACAAACAGGTGAAAGAACAGAGCGCAAAGTTGTAAAGTCCAACTGCATAGGATCCAGTATGGAAAGTTGCTATAGTCTATAAGTGGATGGATGGCACTTAGGGCAAGCTGATCCTGGATCAGACTCTATAGTATAATTGGGATAAAAAGGAGAAAAGCCCCTCTAAATGCAGTATTCAACATAAATTAATTAAAACCCAATAATGGGCCACTCACATTTTGAAAGCAGTAAACAAGCTCATCTTTATACAGAGTAAACCAAAGAAGTCAATCTGAAACTCCATTTGCGCCGATCGTGCCTCCAAATGGCCTGGTGTAGGTGGAGAGCAGTGTAAGCGTGATGACGTCACTTGGATCCACAATGCACTTCGATGCTTTTCGAAGCAAGCACGATGCTACAACCATATGAGCTTGTTTACTACTTTTAAAATGTGAGTGGCCTGGTATTGGTTTTTAACAAATTTATGCTGGATACTGCACTTAGAGGCGCTTTTCTCCTTTTTATCCCAATCAGTCTGAACAAACATCTAGCATTGAGTATCATCAAAAGACAAATCTTGGCCATTTTGTTTCAGAGACCCTGGGCTTCTCATTTCAAAGTTAATGCCTATGTTCACTGTGTGGCTCACATGTTCGCTCCCACTCCTGTGTCCTATTAGGACCTCAGTCTGGTTCTTTCAACTTTTGCTGAAGCTGCCCTCTAGAAACTTTTAGAGGTAATACTCTCTTATGTTGCTATCACCTCTTCAAGGACAGTCTCTGGAACTATTCTGTAAGGTGTCTTTTTTTTTTTTTTTTTTTTTTTTTTTTTTTTTTTGTGTTGCACAAGAAAAAGTTGTCTTGGGGTCTTGTTCTCTGCCTTGCCCCTTTATCGGGATATTGCCCTTCCTTATGTCTTGCCATGAAATATCCTAATGACATTTCTCTCCTCTGTCTGGACATGATGCTGTCTGTGAGAGGTTGATTCCCTCTTTGTGCTTCCTGAAGGTCTCCTCTCTAATGGCAGTTTCAGGCATAGGGGACTACAAGCTTTCTTGAGCTGTTTGTTTTCATGGCCCTGTTGGTGTTGCTTGCTGTATTGCCCAGCCCTCATTTGGATGCCCCACTCATAATGAATATTGAGCCTGTGTCATGTACTGCACAATTAAGAAAAAGGGATTTTTGACATGTCCGTAAAATTTGTCTCCTGGAGAACAGAGCGTGACACAAGTCCCTCCCCTTTGTTCTTAAGATCGTTATATTGCTTGCAAGAAAATTGAGGCTAGCTGGGATTGAGAGGATTTATAGAGGGATATCTCTGCAGCTCCCTTTTTTTTTTTTTTTTTTTTGCCAGTGTCCAGGCACCTGAAAGTAGCTGCACGTAACCTAGTCATAATGATTATTGAACCTGTATCCTGTACTGTACTCCAGGGAAACTATTTTACTTGAAAGTCAGAAATCATTTTTGTGGCCAAAATAAGGGTATGTCTGCTGTCAGGTTTTATAGCAACATCCATAAATAATTCTATTTTTTTTAAAGCAGATTGTTTTATTGCTTTTTTTTTTTTTTTTTGTTTTACAAAAATAAACAAATCCAAACTAGGCATACATCTTAGATTCTCGATTTTGTCCTTCTATACAGTACAGGTGCCTTACATCAGTGTGTTTCCATTACACAAATCAAAACTTTGCTGTTTGTTTCTTTAACACAGTTATATTAAAGTGGTTCTAAAGTCTGAATATTATTTTACCTTAATACGTTCTATTCACTACCTGTTCTTCCCCGTCCCTAAACACTTAACTGACTCCTCTCACCAATCCAGTGCTGTCCATGCTGCAGCACCATTCTTCTTTCTTCCTGGTCTCACAGGAGATATAATCAGTAGCTGATGGCATAGGCTCCTGCTGCTGTCAGCCTCCTGTGAGGAGAGAGCAGGGGCTTGGTTGTGTGTGATTATGAATGTGTACACTGCCCTGCTCAGGAGTGCACTCACATGGGTGCCCCCTTAGCACACATCTTGTTGTTGAGAGGGCACTTGGCGAAAGGAAGACAAGAGACTCCAGAAAAGGAAGTAGGGGACCGCGCTGTGCAATTCCATTGCACAGAACAGGTAATTATAACATTTGCCCAAAAAACTGGTACAGGAAAACGTAATTAGAAAAAGTTGGATTTTCAAACCATTAGCTTCAATTGGCTTTTTTCTTGGCCATAGGAACCAGGGAAAGTGAAAGCAGAAGTGACAAAATCTCAATGATTCTGGGTTCTTAGGAGACATCCACAAACAGATATTTGCTGGTCTCCTTCCCCTCTGCCTGGCTTGCAGGCGGGATAGTGGAGCCTGAAAACATGCTATGAGTGTACTGGGGGTCTGTAGAGGAAACTGAGCAGCTTTACAGCAGCCTGATCACTTCTACCTGAAAGCCAAGTCAGCTCATCAGATTTACACACTCCCAGCTGGGAGTGTGTGTATAAAGGCCCCCCCACTGTATAACATACAACAGTGGAAGTAAAGAGTTAAATAACACATTGTGTGGAGCAAAGATAAACTCCAAGTAGATTTAAGATACAAAGCTCTAATTAATACAACAGGAAATGTATTTGTTAAATGCAAACATGATCAGTACCTGAATTTGACCTGGTTACACAGGGTGGAGTTTGGCAAGGGAACATGTAAATGATAGTGAAGCCGCAGCAAAGAAAAATGAGGCCTCCTAACCCTGCCATACCGGAGTGTTCCACGTAACAGCGCTGCGTAAATTTCTCAACTGGGTTGATAGAAATGCAAATAATTTGGCTCCCTTTTATGCATTTCATCTGTGTATTTAGTTGTTTGCCTGGAGTTTAGTTTTACATTTTTAGATTAACACCTTAATATTAAAAGCGGGCGACTGAGAAGGCACCACAGTCATCTGCCATGGTATAAGCCTTTTCCATGAAAATAACTCTGTAGAAACAAGTGATGCAAATACAAATTGTGTACATATTTAAATATGATCTAACTATTTGCCATGCTTCTCTCTAGTTCATCATGCAGAAGGAAGCGTAAATTGAAGCCATCTCAAACAGCATTGTCATCTCTGACATGTGAAGAAAATACTCAAAAAGATGTTAAAAACGTGAAGTCTTTTCACTCACATCTCAGTCAGTTTCTGTTGTTGGAGGAGAAGAATGAAAGGTAAACGATTTTTGAACGCTGTAGTGAAAAATAATTGGCTAGTGTACATCACTGTGTCAGCAAATGTAATGAGAAATGATAAAGGAAACCTGTACCAAGAGGATTAGGTGGGCTGAGCTGCTGAAACGAATTGCTTGGGGTACTGACTTTTTATGATGCATCTAGGTAGGTTACTGAAAGTATTGAAGCCAAAGACAATGGCCAGTGGTGGCTGCAGACAGTGTCTCCCAACCCTGAACCTAATGTTATAATAAAAGCAGACATACTATAATGGGAACTGCTTAGTCAAAAAATGAGAGAAGTTGTATAGATATCATTTACAGTGCAAAAAGAACACAGACTGATGCCCCTTTTAAGCACATTAAAGCGTACAGAGTCAAATGGGGTTAGAGGTGTGTAACCCCTAGTGATAATCCCCAGCAAGTGTTAGGACCAGCATTGACAAACCCCAGAAGTATCAGGACCTACCATACCATCCTCTGCGATTGTTGGGGCAAGCAATAACCCCCAGTACAATAATAGTCCCCCAGCATTGGTGTTATGAGAACACACAGCAGAGATGAGCAAAACAGTACCACTGCTAAACCTTTACTGCTATAGCGTACCCACAAAATGTAAGCAGGTGGCACAGGGACCAGCAGTAAACATAGTGAAGGCAAGTAGGCAAATTTTGTTATGGCATTTCTGTAGTGCCCCTGATGTATGCTGATGGCAATAGCAGGCAAAGCCAAGACGTAGCGGTGAGCTGCATAAGTGAGTAATGCATGTCCCCCCGAGAAAGAGAGAGTGAATGGAAGGCATTTATCTATTGCTTCACCCCTTCCTGTGACCTATCTGATCCCAAGAGAGTAGTACCATAGAGGGGATAGCGGTCTGTTGAAAATGATGTCCTGCTTTACAGCTAAACCCCCTGCCCCCGCTACAAATGGTAATCGTAATCTTGTATTTCTGTCGGAACTTTCTCCTTCAAGGTGGAATTAGGGCTTCTTTTTTTTTTTTCTTCATTTATAGCAATCCTTACTCCTGATTGGTGTGGCATTATTCTACTAGACGCAGTATTCTTGTTATAGCAGTTAATAAATCACTCATAACCAGTTCTTGTCAGTTGTAGTAATGCATTATCACAAAAATAGTAGCGATTATGACACTTCCACCATAGCATTCCCATTGGGAACAGGAGACTGGTTCTATTTGGAACTGTTGCCTATGGACCTGGATACAAGAGGCCCTAACTTGACTCTGGGACAGCCTGTAACGTTGCAGAGGGTCCCATTGTGTTGAGTCCAGTGCTGAACAGCAGTTTCTTATTGCCTGGTGTACTGGCAGGTCCATGGTGGTGTTCCCCAGCAGGGAAGCAGTGTCCTTGAAGTTTCTAGTGGTGTGACTGCCAAATGGGTGAAGTTTTGGACCTGCTGGGGTTTTTTTCAGCACAGAATGGCGAGTGCCTCTGATGTGGATCCCTCCAGTAGGTGTACACTGAGAAGGAGGAGTGGTGCTTTTTTCCTTTTGGGTTTTAGAATTGACAACCAACTTTCTGGGTAGTTTCCAGTTTAGACTGCATAGGTCGCAAACAGAAATGTTTTCCTTCCCCTTCTCCCATCTTGTTGATAGAGGAACCGGTTGAGGAAACTATGTAAGAATTGTAGAAGAACCCATGTCCCAGGAGGTAGAAGAGACTGAACAGTCCTCCTCTGAGGAGTCTTTTGAAAACTTCCAGGGCCCAAGTTTGTCACAGACTACCCCAAGTATTCATTCACACGACTGTAAAAATTTTATGATCTTACATGTTTAATGATCAGTAAAATACTTGCGTATAGATGCATTTAAATGTATAAATGTGTTTGAGTACATAACTTGTTTTTAATAAACCTTATTTTCCCCCTTTGTTTAGACTTATTTTACATGCTTACAAACGCGTATACATGCATTTATACATGTAAATGCGTAAAACACATGTTCTTAGATGCAGATTTGTCGGTTCTGTGTTACTGATCTGTAAGCAGCTCATGTTTACACACCTGCATTCACATCCGTAATTAGCTCTTGTATATGCGTATTTTTACAGCTGTGTGAATGAAGCCTTAAGGTTACCAGATTGGAGTTGTGGGGGCTGCTCAGCGCTTCCAGTCTTTCCCTGTTCATTCCTACAAAAAGTAGTTGTAAAGCCTTACATATATCCAGTGAAGTGACTGGCCTCAGGTGATACACAGAGAAAAAACAAATCCTCCTACGTAAATTCTACCTGTCTATCTGAAGTCTTCTCTTCTCTACATCTATTCAATGTACTGAATTTATAAAGCTAGTCTGAGAGTTCAGAAAAAGGGGGCGGGGAGCTGATATTACTTAATCTTAAATTACTTAATCTCAGAGCTCAGTGAGGATGATTGTATGGAAGAGATACACTCCCTCCAGACAGCTCACAGGAACAGAGCTAATGCTGTCAGTCTGTTGGAGATCCCTCCTCACCGCTCTCACAGTATTTCTCAATGGTTGCAGGAATGCAGCTAGATAGGAGGAAATGATTCCTTTTACAGCCTTTATGGGTGTAAAAGCAATCAGTGTGAATAAAAATAATAATCACCCCCCACAAGTAGTACAGTGTTACTATGGTTACACTGTACTGCTAGGGTGACAGTATGTAAAAGAAAAAAAAATACAAAAATATAAATAAAATAAAAATGTAAAAGATTTTTTTAAAAATTATAATTTTGTTTTTATAAACTGATTTGGGTTATTTTTTTTAACCAAAAAGATAGCTGAATACGTTTTGGCCAAGATTTATGAAGAAAGATTATTTGAAAAATTTTATAAGAAACACTAATTTTTTTCAAAAGCGTTTGTCTTTTTTATTTATATAGCAAAAAAATAAAAATCCCAGTGGCGAATAAATACCACCGAAAGAAAGTTTTATCTGTCTCAAAAAATGCTAAAAATGGAATTTGGGTACAGTGTTGCACGACCGCACAATTGTCATTCAAAGTGTGACAGCGCTGAAAGCTGAAAATTGGCCTGGACTAGAAGGGGTGAAAGTGTCCAGACTTGAATTGGTTAAGGATGCCTTAGGCACCTGGAATCCTTGGCATCTTTATTTAAGTCGTCTTTTGCCCTTGTCAGGGCACCCTTCCAGCTGGTGGTTGCAGCAGTAGGCCTGTGTTTAGGCTCCCAAGTTTTATGCTTGATGGATGATGAAAGATGGGGATTTTAAGCAAGAGGCTTTTGAATCTGGTAGAAAGCTGAAGGATTTCCTTGCACCCATAGTATCTCAGGGAATGCCTTGCAATACCCTACTCAACAGCTTTCTCGTTTGGACGATCTATGCATATGTGCAGGAACCTTTGGTTCTAGTGTTGGTCAGCAGAGCTGCCTTGTGAGAGGCAAGTTGGATGCTATCCTTTTCAACACAAATGTTTGTTTTACCCTAGCCTTGGATGATTGCATCCAAAAATGTAACTGAGTAAGAGTACCCATTTACTGATCAGAATCAAGGCAAAGTCTGGTGCAGAAGCCTACCCCTCCTTATTTATAAGAAGCATTTCATCTATCACAGGACCCTAAGCCCAATACCCAATTCTGCAAGAAGCCCAGTGAATGGGCAGCCCTACTTGGGGGAATGATTGCTAGCCTTTTCGTATGTGTGGGCTGCAGAGTTTAGGGATAAATGGGTCTGAAGTGTAGTGACTTGGGGCTACAAGTCAGAATTTCTCAGACTTTCACTTCCATGTTTTTCGCTCCCAAATTGTCCCTTGAAGCCAGAAAAAAAGAACTTTTTGTTTGTTTTTTTTTTGCAGGCTCTCTATTGTCTGCTCCCACAGGGAGAGATCACTGAGGTTTCAGGGGGGAAAAAGTTTGGAGGTTCCAATTCTAACCTCTTTACAGTACCCAAGCTGAATGGTGACATTAATTCAGTTCTTCATCTCCAAGGCCTCAACAGGTTTCTTTGTGTGGAATCTGTCTGGTCATTGGTTACCTTCCTACAGCAGGGAGATTTAAAGGATGAACCCCACACCGTACATCCCAATTTACTTGCTGCACCAACAAATCCTGCAGTTGGTGGTGAACAAACATTTTCACTTTGTATCTCTGCAGTTTGGCCTCTTCACTGCCCCCAAGGTATTCACCAAGGTGTTGGCTCTGGACAACCATCTGCTCTGATTCTGGAGTCAAGTATGCATTTGTTGGTGCTAATTTTGGAAATGTTGATGTGAACTTCTAAAAATCGGCCCTGGTTCCAACTTAACGGTTGGGCCTAATCTTGGGCACAGATCAGGCGAAGGTGATCCAACCCCCAGAAAAATACTTGTTGCTGCAGACTTTACAACAACTCCTAAATATGCTTCTGTGCGAGGGTTCTGGAGAAGATGGTTGTCTCCTTCAAGGTGGTAGCATTTACCCAGTTTCATTCCAGAGCCCTTCAACAGAATGCCCTATCAGCATGGGACAAGGACAGTCATTGGATTCTTCAATATGTCTGTACTCCAAGACAAAATGGTAACTCAGTTGCTGAAGATAGGCAAATGATTCCTTCTGTTGTCTTGGAAAGTCCTGATAAAGGAGGCAACATCTAATCAGGCTGCCATATCAACATTCTGGAATCGAGGACAATTTGACTAGTTCTTTTGCATTGGTAGGCACACATGCAGTCCAATACCACAGCGGTGGCATACATTAATCATGGAGAAATCAGTCATTTTCCCTAATTTTATGCCTTCCCTCCGCTACAGCTTGTCTCTGCTGCTTTGCAGGATATGATTGGAAGGGATTTTAGTGACTGGTTGCTCTAGCCCAGTGTTTCTCAACTCCAGTCCTCATGGACCCCCAACAGGTCATGTTTTCAGGATTTCCATTATTTTGCACAGGTGATTTGATCAGTTTCACTGCCTTAGTAATTACCACAGCTGTTTCATCTGAGGGAAATCCTGAAAACATGACCTGTTGGGGGTCCATGAGGACTGGAGTTGAGAAACACTGCTCTAGCCTGAACTAGGAGAATGTGATACTCCTATATGGAAAGTTGTCCATGGAATCCTCGAGATCGTCCTGACCTCCTGTTGCAGGGTTCAATCTTTCATCCTGCTTTACGGTTGCTGGCTTCAATAGCTCAATAGCTTGGCTGCTGAAGCCAGGGTCTTGAGAGCCAGAGGTGTATGCAATTTTTTTTTTTGGATTAGGAAGGTGGGTTTATGGAATATTTACCATCAGACTTGTAAGTCTTATTTTGCATAGTGTGCAGCCCACAAAGTTCACCTTTGCAGGTAAGTCTAGGGACGCATTGTATCTTTTCTGCAATTAGGATGAACAAAAGTTTTTTTTAGTCTGGAGTACCATCAAGGGTCATATTTCTGCTTTTGGCAGTTCTCCTCTACAGAACCTTTACCTCATATTCTTTAGTGTGTGCCTTTGTACCTGATGACACACACATTGGTCCACCGGTCTGCACCTGTTGATTCAATGGGACCTCTATTTGGTACTTTGTGTTATTGATGTCTCAGTTTGAGCCCCTCTGAGATATTATCTTATCTTACCTTAGAAAAGGTTGTCTTTTTGGTTATTACTTCAGCTCACAGAATTTGGCAACTGTGTCTCCATAAATGTCCAGGAAAATAGACTTACAATCTCTGTTGTGCTTTTTGCCCAAGGTGTTTTTTTTTGGGGTTTTTTTTGTACCATCTCAACCAGGATATTGTGTTACCTTCCTTCTATCCTAAACCTCAGACCGCTTACTTCAATTCAATAAAGTTGATTCGACAGTCTGATTGGTTTTTTTTTTTCTTTTCCTAATTGACCAAAGAAGGTTCAAGCAGCTTCCAAATCTACCGTTTCTAGATGGACCAGTCTGCTTATTTTTCAGGCTTACTTCCCTAATGGAAGGGCTCTGCCATTTCCTGTAACAGCTCATTCTACCAGAAGCGTTGGTGCTTGCTGGGCTATTCAACATCAAGCTTCTATAACTTATGTTTGTAAGACTGCTACCTGGAATTCAGTTCATACCTTTCCTAGGTTTTTCCCAGGTGAATATTCTGGCAGATGCAACCTCCACGTAAAGGGTCTTGATGGTGGCTGTTTGAGGTTCTAACCTGTTTTGGTTTTTGGGGCCTGTTGGCTTGTTGCTTTGTTGCCCTCCCCTCATATTCAGTGCTTTGGGACATTCCTATCTCAATGAATATGAAGATGTCCTATGATTTGTGATAAAGAAAATTAATCTTAAAAGGTAAACCAAAAATCTAATTTTCTCTGAGTTCAACTTCAATTCTAAAAAAAGTTGGGACGCTGTGTAAAAATCTACATAAAAACAATGCAATGTTTTGCAAATCACATAAACCCATATTTTATTCACAATAGAACATAGAAAACATATCAACTGTTTAAAATGAGAAAATGTACTGTTTAAAGAAAAAAATTTAAAAAGTTATTTTGAAATTGATGGCAGCAACATGTATCAGAGTTGGGAATGGGCTGTGTTTACCACGGTGTAGCTTCCCCTGTTTAAAAAACACTCTGTAAACATCTGGGATCTGAAGAGACCAGTTGCTGGAGTTTTGGGAGAGGAATGTTGTCCAATTCTTGCCTGATATAGGATTCTAACTGCTCAACAGTACTGGGACGTCTTTGGTGCATCTTGAAACAAAAAAATGCAACAAATATTTTCAAACAGGGAAAGGTCTGGACTGCATGCATGCACCCATACTCTTCTACGAAACCATGCTGTTGTCATAGATATGTAGTATGTGATTTTGCATTGTCCTGCTGAAATATGCAAGGCCTTCCATGGAAAAGGCATGATCTGGATGGGAGCATATATTGCTCAAAACCTGGATACCTTTCAGCATTGAAAATGCCTTTTCAGGTGTGCAAGCTGTCCCTTCTGTATGTACTAATGCATCATCATACCATCAGAGACGGGCTTGAGTGCTGTTAGCAAGCTGGAAAGTTCCTTTCCTCTTTAGTCTGGAAGACGCAGATTCACTGTTGCCAAAAAAAGTCAAATTTTGATTCGCTTGACCACAGAACAGTTTTCCACTTTGCCACAGACCATTTTAAATGCGCTTTCTGAATCATGTTCATGATCATCTTCTTTGCATAATGGAGCTTTAACTTGCATTTTTGGATAGCATGACAAACTGTATTCAGAGCATGATTTTAAATTTCCCCCACAAAGTTTGGTGCAGCACAGAAACCAATAAGTTTCCAGGTTTTATTGTCAAAGCTTACTTGGGTACTATGCACAGCTACACCAGATTCTGTATGCTACAGTTTTAGTAAATCTCCCTGTGACGGAGGATAGGCAGGACAGAACACACAAGGCAGATGGCAAACACTTAAAGCTTTATTAAAACAGACAACAGTCACTCACTGGGAAGTAGTGCAGAAAGAGAGCCCAAAATAATTTGTAATCCAGCCCCAGGGGGCAAAGTTAAAATCTTTAAAGGCAGTTTGTAATCCAACAGGGAGGTAGGAGGCAGTTCATAAACCATTCGGATAACACAGGGGAAGCATACACTCACACAGAGCTGATGTGGTAGTCTCAGGCAGAGCTGGCAACGTCTCAGGCAGAGCTGATGTGAAAATCTCAGGCAGAGTTGGCAGTGGCTCAGGCAGAGCTGATGTGAAAGTCTCAGGCAGAGCTGATGTGGCTTCTGGGGTCCCCCTTACTCCAATGGGGCTCAGGCAGAGCCTGGCCACTAGAGTTCCGCCGCAGCTGGGATCCCTTAGGGGCTGCACAGCAGAATGGATGGTCCGGAGAGACCAGCACTGACCCCTTAAACCTCAGGGCAGGAGGAGAGGTGGAAGGGGGTCATTAGCAGGATGACAATGGAGGGGATGCCTTGATTGAGTTTGTGGACATCTGGATGACAATGGAGGGGATGCCTTGATTGAATTAAGGAACATTTGGCAAGAAAGGCACTAATTGCATTGGAGATGGGAAGTACTTCCTCTGGCGCAAAAAGTAAGGCATTAATTAGGGATGTACTACATTTGGGATGACAATGGAGGGGATGCCTTGATTGAGTTTGGGGACATTTGGATGACAATGGAGGGGATGCCTTGATTGAGTTAGGGAACGTTTGGCAAGAAAGGCACTAATTGCATTGGGGATGGGAAGCATTTCCTCTGGCACAAAAAGTAAGGCATTACTTAGGGATTTACTACATTTGGGCACAAGACAGGATGGACAGGAAAGGAAATACAGTAATTTTCTTAACCAGTTCCCGTCTGGCCAATAGCAAAATGACAGCTGTGTGGGCATCATATGACGTCCTCCTGTCCAGCCTTGCAAATGCCGACGGGGCCGTGCTGTGGCGACAGCTGATAACAGATCTGGGTACTGCCTGTTGCCAGTACCATATGACTGCTGTGACAAATTAACTATGCCCATCTCTTAAAATTGTTGTATATGATTGTTTATAATATCATGATTACTATATGGTGTCACTAATTGTATATATTTTGTCCTAACTTGTGTATATAACAAGATTCAAGGCCCTGAGGAAGCGTTTTTTTTCTGTGAAATGCATCAGCCATTCTAAATCAGGATCTCATGAAGAGATATATGGTTACATTTCAAGCGACATTATTTATTTGAAAAGTTTTTTATGCTGTCTGTTTTGTGATGTATGTACTTGGTTACAATAAAATATTGGTTTTATAAATTTATTTTCTCCCTTGTACTATATGTTGGGAGGTACACTTAGAGTCCCATATTATAAGCACTGTGTCTATATTTAATGTATAGAGAGTACCTCCAGAGAGAATACTAACCCCAGATTTACCCGCCACATATGCTCTTTGACCCTGTTTTTATGTGTTTTTTTGCACAGCATTGCAACTCTTCCTATGTTCATTGCTTGCCATTGGTCAGTCACCTGAAGGCAGTATAATCATATCGTAATGGATATGAAGACACCTGTGATGTACTTCAAGAAATAGAAAAGGATTTTTGTATAGCTAAACTCCAGTTTTTGCAATGCTAAGCTGTTGTATTATACTTTCCACAGTTCTTCAAGCAAAAAGAGAGGAGTGTGCTAGCACCATCTCAGCATTTGGAGTCTTCCTTCGTGGAACATATGGAAAATACACAGAAGGAGTTAGACAGTCTGAAGTCACTTCAGTCACGTTTGAACCATGCCTTGATGGCTGAGAAACAAGAGTGTGACAAGTAAGGTTTTACTATCAAATAACTATTTGCGTTTGGCTATATTCAACAAGAGAGCTTGCTTCCAAACTGCCTTGGCTGTGCAGACATGGAATGCTATGGCTTGTATAGAATAAACGTCAGTTTAATCAGATCAGGACACCTTCTCATCTTTCTACAGAAAACAATGCTTGCCCCCTACTGATAATGCAGTCCCTTACTAGCTGGGATGTTGGGGACAAAGTCATGTTTTTAAAAGTTGATGCCGAAGGCAGGCCAGTGGGTTGATCAAAAAAAAAAAAAAAGATTATTCTCCCATCCACACATTCATTGTGGATGGGGTAATCCTTCCCGCTGGGCTATTGTATTTTGCTGGTAGAGAGCCTTCCCCACCAGCAGAGTTCAATAAGTGTAGCTGGTTATAGTCAGCAGCGCTGATTGTTCGGGTTAAAACCTGACAGGCTGGCTGTACACAAGGTGATTTATAGATCAACTTGTGTACAGCCAGCTAGCCCTTACATAGGTCAAACCTTGGCCGCTTCCTGTTGAACGGGGCGACTATTGATCCCCATGTATGGCCAGCTTAAGGCAAAATGATTTAAAATAGACATATTGTAATTAGAAAATCGCTTCATTGTTCCACTTATTCTTTTACTGCACATCACTCACAGATAAAAACGAAAGTGCAAAGAACACTGATATGTCTGCAGTCTGCTCATATAGGATGCTAAGGAGCATAGCAATTGGAGAGACTGTAGAGTTGTGGAGGTGTCATTGGTTTAAGACAAGGCATTCGCCATGAAGCTCCACTTGCTGAATGGATATGAAAATACTAAATATTCATCAAATGTTAAATCTGTTGTGTACCCAAGATCCAAATAGAAGTTTTAATAGTACTTTTCAGTTACAGACATACCAAAGAAAATATGTGCAAAACCAGTAAACTATTCTATGTAGGATTCTCTTATTAATGTAATCTGATTTTACTGTATAAAAATGATCATGGTAATCGATAAACTAACACTGTGCTATTTGGTTTCAGATTCAATGAAAAGCTACAACATCTCCTTGAAGAAGAACCTCTAGATATATCTCTTAGTCTTCCTCTGTATCTTCCCAACACATCTTTACAAGGGGCTCTAGAAAGTGCTATTGTAGTCCATTCTCAGCATAAGCCTTCAACAGACAAGACCCTACATTCCTATTCCCAACCGGATTCCTTGATGAGTGGTGTACACTCTCAATCATCTGTAAGGGATCTCATGAACAGCCTGCACACAAGCATAAGAAGGTATAAAGATGAAGATATCGCTTTCAATTTGCACTTGAGCAACCTGCTTGATGTGGCAGAGCTAAGCAGTTCTCCAACTTAAAACAAATATGTTGAAACAGTTAATCATCTTGCTAAAGTTTATTTATTTTTTTTTTCTGTTCAACTTTTATTTACATCTGTAAGTACACTTTCATTTGTCTTTTGTTAAAGTTATAAGTTTTGTTTGCGTATAGTAAATACATAGGAAAAGCCAGCAATAGTTTTAACAATGGCTGTCAGATTAATTTTTTGGTATTTCATTTCTTTAATCAGAATTAAAATACTGTATTTTGTTTAAAAAAAATAATGCAGATTGACTAATTAAAATGGCTCTCACCACATTTACAATTCAGATACGATAAACAGTTAATGCCAGGAGACTGTTACAGTCAAGTCCATAAATATTGGGACATTGACACAATTCTAACATTATTGGCTCTATACACCACCACAATGGATTTGAAATGAAACGAATAAGATGTGCTTTAACTGCAGACTGTCAGCTTTAATTTGAGGGCATTTACATCCAAATCAGATGAACGGTGTAGGAATTACAACAGTTTGCATATGTGCCTCCCACTTGTTAAGGGACCGAAAGTAATGGGACAGAATAATAATCATAAATCAAACTTTCGCTTTTTAATACTTGGTTGCAAATCCTTTGCAGTCAATTACAGCCTGAAGTCTGGAACGCATAGACATCACCAGACGCTGGGTTTCATCCCTGGTGACACTCTGCCAGGCCTCGACTGCAACTGTCTTCAGTTCCTGCTTGTTCTTGGGGCATTTTCCCTTCAGTTTTGTCTTCAGCAAGTGAAATGCATGCTCAATCGGATTCAGGTCAGGTGATTGACTTGGCCATTGCATAACATTCCACTTTTTCCCTTAAACTCTTTGGTTGCTTTTGCAGTATGCTTTGGGTCATTGTCCATCTGCACTGTGAAGCGGCGTCCAATGAGTTCTGAAGCATTTGGCTGAATATGAGCAGATATTGCCCGAAACACTTCAGAATTCATCCTGCTGCTTTTGTCAGCAGTCACATAATCAATAAATACAAGAGAACCAGTTCCATTGGCAGCCATACATGCCCACACCGTGACACTACCACCACCATGCTTCACTAATGAGGTGGTATGCTTAGGATCATGAGCAGTTCCTTTCCTTCTCCATACTCTACTCTTCTCTTCCCATCACTCTGGTACAAGTTGATCTTGGTCTCATCTGTCCATAGGATGTTGTTCCAGAACTGTGAAGGCTTTTTTAGATGTTGTTTGGCAAACTCTAATCTGGCCTTCCTGTTTTTGAGGCTCACCAATGGTTTACATCTTGTGGTGAACCCTCTGTATTCACTCTGGTGAAGTCTTCTCTTGATTGTTGACTTTGACACACATACACCTACCTCCTGGAGAGTGTTCTTGATCTGGCCAACTGTTGCGAAGGGTGTTTTCTTCACCAGAGAAAGAATTCTTCGGTCATCCACCACATGCTAAGAACCAGGCTGGAACACCTGGGGGCACTGGACCCGGAAGTGATGTCACTGTAGGTGGAACAGGAAGTAGAGAGGTATGGTTACATGTTTCAGAGCCCTGCGGCTTCTTTAAACCATCCAGGTGGTTTGGTTGGTTTCAAGGAACGTTGAATAAAGCTGATGGCGTGCTATGACACTCCTTTCGTCGTATCCACACCCAAAATTGTACGTTGCATAACATTGTTAAGGTGGGAGAGGAGCATTTTAACAGATCTCGCATGGTGATAGTACAACAGGCAGCTTTTTGTGACATTTAATCACCACTGGGATTTTAATTTATTTGTTCTATAAAGGAAGCAAGACAGAAACGAAGAAAAACTTTTTTTTTTTTTTTTTTTTTTATTTTCAATATTTTCTGCTATAAAACTTTGTAAACAAATAGTCTCCCTTTTATACATTTAGGTCGAAAATGTAGTCTGCTACATTTCCTTGGTAAAAAAAAAAAATAATAAATCACTGTATTTTTCGTTCCATAAGACGCACTTATCCCCTTTTGGGGGGGGGAAATGGTCTGGGCATCTTATGAAATGGCCGGCCCGGTATTCCCCAGTATGGGGATACCACATATGTGAGACTTTTTCACAGGCTAGCCTCATAGAGAGCTCCGTAATCCTCAGCGCACCATCAGGCATTCTAGGGACATGATTACACATCTAACTTCTTAACTAGCACATTATTTGGAGGCCCTGGCACACCAGGACAGTGGAAACGCCAACAAAATGGCTGCATTTTGGAAATCAAACACCCAAATGTATCTTTTTAGAGTGATTCTAAGTATTTTGAAGACTTCATTTTTTTTGCCATAAGTTTTTGGAAAAGGTATAATAAAAAATTTATTTTTTCTTGCACAAAGCTGTCAGTTAATAAGATATATTAGCACACAGCATATGCAGACTTAGAATTACACCCCAAAACACATTCTGCTGCTCAAGGGGATACCATGTGCATGAGACATTTGCACAACTTAAATCAGAGAGAGAGAGAGGCCTAAAATCCAATGAGCATCTCAAAGCGGTATTAAAGTAGGGTCCTACTGAAGAAGTGACGTGATGACTTGCATCTACGCGGAGCCAGTGACGCGGGAGCTGGAGCCCTGCTGTCTGCATGATATGCCTGTATTCTACCTTTACGTATAAATGCATTTTTAAAAAATATATTTTAGTGCTTACAAACTTCACTATGGAATACATTTTTGCTTTATGTGAGCACAATATAGAAGATGATGGGATCGTGATTTAAAGGGCCAGTTTACAACATATGGGAACTTATCCACTTTGTGTTTGAGTACCTTATGAACAAATACCTGCGGCTGCACTGGAAGGAAAGATACTAAAAGGAGTTCCAAATAAGGGGAAAAGCATTTGAGACCTGAAACTATACAGGTCCAATTTTGGAGGTAAGCACAGTTGTGAATGTTGGTGGGTATCACCATGTACAGTTGTGTTCAAAATAATAGCAGTCAGAGATCACTAACCTGATCAATCACTGTTTTTGATAGAAATTATATTTATACATGGCAAATAATTTACTAGTTAATAATAATTTAGTAGAGTAATAGAATAATTATTTAGTAGAGTAATAGAAATCCAACAGAATTGTAATTGAATCACTAATTGAAAGGGGCATGTTCAAAATAGCAGTATGGAGTTCTATTCATTGGAGTGTGGAGGTCATTCATTCTTTGAAAAACAGGTGCCGATTATTGCCCTTATTTAAGGATGGAAGGCAGCAAATGTTGTACATGCTGGTTACAGTGCATTTCTCCCTAAAATTCTGAGGAAAACGGGTCGTTCTAGACATTGTTCAGAAGAACAGTGTACCTTAATTAAAAAGTTGATTGGAGAGGGGAAAACATATAAGGAAGTGCAGAAAATGATAGGCTGCTCAGCTAAAATGATTGCAAATGCTTTAAAATGGCAACCGAAACCTGAAAGACGTAGAAGAAAGCGAAAAACTACCATTCGAATGGATAGAAGAATAGCCAAAATGGCAAGGACTCGCCAACAATCAGCTCCAGGAAGATCAAAGAAGGTCTAAAGTTACCTGTGAGTACTGTTACAATTAGAAGACGCCTATGTGAAGCCAAGCTATCTGCAAGAAGCCCCCGCAAAGTCCCACTGTTGAAAAAAAAAGATGTGCTGAAGAGGTTACAATTTGCCAAAGAGCACATTGACTGGCCTACAAAGAAATGGCGCAACATTTTGTGGACTGATGAAAGTAAGATTGTTCTTTTTGGGTCTAGTGGCCGGAGACAGTTTGTCAGACGACCCCCAAACACTGAATTCAAGCCACAGTACACTGTGAAGACAGTGAAGCATGGTTGCGCAAACATCATGATATGGGGATGTTTCTCATACTAGGGTAATGTGCCTATTTATCGCATACCAGGGATCATGGATCAGTTTGAATACATCAGAATACTTGAAGAGGTCATGCTGAAGAGGAAATGCCCTTGAAATGGGTGTTTCAACAAGACAACGACCCCAAACACACCAGTAAACGTGCAACATCTTGGTTCCAGACCAAGATTGACGTTATGGAGTGGCCAGCCCATTTCCTGGATCTTAATCCAATAGAAAACTTGTGGGGTGACATCAAAAATGCAGTTTCTGAGGCAAAATCAAGAAATAGAGAACTGTGGAATGTAGTCCAATCATCCTGGGCTGGAATACCTGTTCACAGGTGCCAGAAGTTGGTTGACTCCATGCAACACAGATGTACAGCAGTTCTCAGAAACAGTGCTTATACAACTAAATATTAAGTGATTCAAAGGAAAGCAAAATCTTCAAACATTTTTCAGATTATATAGTGAATGTGTTTGTAAAGAAGAATACAAACACTGCTATTTTTTTGAACAGTCTAATATTCACTTTTCTTCAAATTTTTTAGAGGAACAACTCAAATTTGTTATATTTTTCTTCATGTTTTGATTTGGAATAGAATGTGTAGTGTTCCCAGTGCATTTGTGTGTATGGAAGTAAAAGCTATTAGGATTTTGAGCTTTATTCACTTTTTTTCAACACACTGCTATTATTTTGAACACAACTGTATGTGTTTGTGGAGGATCACAAGAGGTGGAATGCAATGTACTGTCTGGCAGTTGGAGAAGAAACTCTTGTCATATGCATGGACATATTACATTAATTGTTATTAATGTTCACAGTTTGTGATATATGGACTTTTTCTTTTTTTTGTGGTTTACTATTTACAGTGATGTGATTACTGGTTTGAATAATTGATTGGGAGGTGCAGCAATATACTTTTTCAAATTCTTATTGGTTTTGGGAACACAATGTCATTGCTAGCAGCCACTCTACGCACATACACTTATGGTTCAATAATACTATAATATTAGTATATATTCAATCCAATATGTGTATGTAATAATAGAGGTGCAGGATACATTCACTATCATTTTGTACACACACACACACACACACACACACACACACACACACTGCAGGATCACTTCTCACTCCTCTCATACTGAGAGCAGAGAGAAAAATTTTTACTTTCACTTTCCATTGTTTACT